TACTTCACCTCTTGGGATTTCCAGCTGAAATCACATGTCGACAGAGAGCCCTCGTCTGCTAGGCACACGTTGTCTACTCATGGCCTGGAGTCACTGGCGATGGCGGAGGTGGTGAGGACAGCCAAACCCGAGCAGTCCGTGAGGCTTTCGTGAGTCTTTTCATATACCTTCGTAGGGTTCCTTCATCGTCACTTTGTTTGCCCTAGGCTTCCAACCACCGTTGATTCAATAGCCTTTACCGAACAACCATTGTTTTACCAAGGATTTTACACGCAAAACCAGGTCAACCAATTTTGAATGGCCTTGGAAGGCTGGGGGTTGGAGCATCATAGGTGAACATCTTCCGCAGGTCTGAAAAACATTTATCAAGTGGGGGTGTCCTGGAGGACCAACACCACGGCTTTCAGGCCTGCTGTAGATTATATAGCGAAACACTCAAAAAGGTTCTCAGAGGCTCCACATCCCAAATGTCTGACCTCATTGTTAAGAAAAGGGAATCGACATGAATGGACCTCATTAGACCCCCCCAAAAGCAATCCTGTTGGCCAAACACTCGTTAGACCCCCCAAAATGCATGGCTCCTGTTGGTTTGTTTTGGATCGAGGAGCCACATGGCCACATGGCGCTCCGCCATCCGCCCCAGGAAGCGTCTGGAACCCTTCTTGGAGCAGCCCAGGCTGATGCAGCGCGGTCCCATGGAGATGGAGAAGAGTTGGCAAGGCTTTCGGAGGCACCAAACACTCGAAAGCACTTCTTCACACTCGAAAGGGGCTTCACCTCCGGCGCCCACGATTCGACACCCGGATTCGACGCCCGGATTGGGTGATGCTTCACCCGTCGTGAACAAGGGGATGCTTCACCCGACGGCGGAGGTTGATGAGTCTTAATCAAGTGACTCCACCGACCTCCGATTTGAACTGATCCAACACAGCAGAATCCGATGTCCGTTTGCCACCTGATCGACTCCAGGATCAAGTAAAGAGGAAAGCTCCAGAAACAACGCCAACAACAAAAGAAACATCCCGGCCGGGGAGAAAAACACCGCGAGTTTGGGGTTGTGGCCAAAGGCATCAAGCACTCGTTCACAAAATTCAAAAGCACGATCTTCCTGCTGTGTTTTGAGCCATTCATGGCAATGGATGTCGTATCGAAAGTGGCATTTGCAAGGTGATTCGGAGGTGCCAAAAAGTTCCATGTAAAAAAACATATGCCAAATGGCTTGCTTGGCCTTGGGTGAACACTTCCGAAGAAAAAACAACAGGAAAAAAACGAACTTCTCTTGGATTGAGTCGGCTTTTCGCCGCGAAAGCGCGCAAGCACTGCTCTAGACATGCCCTCGATCTGTCGCGCTCGTCCGGCGAACCTGATGAACCTGAACCTGATGGCATGGACCGAAGGCGATTTTCCTCTAGAAGCCCAATTGAACCTGGTTCCATCGTGGGGTCAGATGTCTTTTTGGCTGTGCAGCGGGAGCCTGGGGAGCCGAGTCCGCCTTCAGACGACGTGAAAGCACGTTTACGCCAGTCATGTCGCGGGACCTGAGCCCCGGGCCCCGGGCACCTCTGTGCACCGACATGAACTGTTTGAACTGCCGGGCATGACTCTCGAGAACGACCTAACCCTTTGGTGAGATGCTCCAGGAGAGTCCAAGTGTAGAAAATAAGGATCAGGATCTAAACAAATGTAAAAGGCTCAAGAAGTGTACTGTATATAAATATACATAAATTATATAATAGGATCTGTTGCACGAGTCATCAAGCCAATTAATGATTCAATGCAAGATATTAACCGTCAGTGAACATAGTTATTCATGAACATTCAAGAAGGCAGGAAGACAAAAGAACTGATCACGACATGACAAACGTAAAAGAACCTGCAAACAAGGGAAACTCACGCAGACCAGAACACGTGACGCATGACATGCACTTGAGTCTACCGAGTGCATCAAGATGTTGGCCTTCGAACGTTAAAAGTACGGAAACGCCATCAGGTGCAGCAAAAACATCCATTGGGCCGCCGCCCTTGCCACCCACCACACCATACCAACAGTGTGGGGTCCGAAGAGCGCGACTAACACGCAACGTGCGGTCGCCATCGGCATCAACGATTCCCCGCTGGAGGCGAGCTCCCGGCATAACGTTTTGGAGCTCGAAACCTTCCCCCAACATCTCCATGATTTTGGCATCAATTGGAACAAAGAAAGAAGACACCTATAACAGTTATTTGGAACTATAAGTAGCATATGTTAACATCATTTAACAAAAACAACCCACGCATGTGTATATATGTATATACACATGCATATTACAATTATTCAATATAAGAAGAATATCATCCTCCCAGACCTCGCAGTTCCTCCGGAGCTGCAGGGCCTATGCGGCGGTCCTGGGAGACTCGTCGAAGGCGCAGCGCATCTACGCGAGCCGCGAGGGGCAACGACGGCGACAGCTGCAGCAGTGGGAATTGGCGAACATGACACGGGAGATTGGGAGAGGGATGGGGAGAGGGTGGTTCCGAGCCGGTCTTTTTTGACTTCAACTGGATGGCAAGCACTGGTTCTGGGTCCATCGAATTACAGTTCATTTATAGCATGGCTTCGTAGGATTGAGCAACGCCCAAACCTTGCAGACCTCATCTCTAATCTTTCTAAAGATCCGTGAAATCCCATACAAGATGTGGTGGGCTCCCTGTGGATGATTCTTCGACAATCTTTTTGGCGCAAGCGACTGAGTCCAAAGACACGAAGTGCGAAGCAACAGGAGCCTATCGAGCCCAACCCCCAGCCGGTGACGTGTTCGTCTCTGAAAAAGAGGTCAAAGACGAACCTTTTGCCCTTTCGAATCACTCGTCGTGCTTCGAATTCACTCCCTTGTGATTTCACCCCTCGGGGCTGCCCCCCCCCCCCCCGCCCCCGGGGGCGCCCCCCCCCCCCCCCGAGCCCGGGGGGTGGATGGGCCTGGCGACCTGGAGACGCGCGCGGTCGCCACGTCGCCGTAGGAGGATGCGAAGCGTTGGAGACAGCGGAGCTACAAGATGCATCTCAAGTCCCGGATCTTGAACGCCCTCCGGAAACATCTGGCCGTGCCTCGGAACCCAGGTGGAGTAGACTTTTTGGTTATGGGTGTTTTGGAAAAGGTGTTTAGGGCGGATGCGTTTGGGTGCCTTTTTTTGTTTTTATGTGGGTTGGAGAAGATTTCTCTTCACTAGAAGTACAGTACATGCTCTGAGTGGGCTCGCTTGTAGTGCTCATCGTCGCGGATTCCCCCGCGAAACAAGCTCCGACCGCCTCGTCCTGGCTTCGGCGCTTGGGGCGTGTCCTGGCTTCGGCTTTCAACGGTGAGGTCAAAGAACCCCCAAAAGAGAATCTTGATTGTTCAATTTGAGATAGAAAGTATTGATTGTTCCGCTAGATTCCATAGTAATGATAAATCATCCTAAAACATCTCTTTGGCAATGAATCCATTTGCCGTTCTTTTTTGGTCCCCATCCACACCATGACACCGCCGATGCCCGGTCGCCGCGCCGCTCCGCCGCTCCAGGTCTGGCAGCGGCGCTTGGACCACTGGGGCGAGCGCCACATGATGCGCCGCGCGGTGCTGAAGTCCCAGGCCGTGCGGCGACGCCTGCGGCAGAGGCGTCCGCCTCGTCGTCCGCGCCGCCAGCGCGCGACGCCTGAGGCAGAGGCGGTCAGGCGCGCGGCGAAGGAGGGTCGTTGGCGCGGACGCGAGCGGATCTGCGGTGGTTCTGTGATGTGGGGAGTGGAGGGAGTAACGGGAGTGGAAGGAGTGGAGTGGGACTTGGTGACGCTTAAGGCTTGTTGGGTGGGATACACCTTTACCAGTAGACAATTACCTCTTTGGTAGTTTGGAATCACCATCCGCTGTGACCCCCTATGACCTGCCTGCCACCTCAATAAAGTCTGCCTGCCGCCTCAGACTGACGAGACCAAAATCGAGCCTCTTCGGCTGTGTGCTCAGCTCCACCAGTACATTGTCCTTAAGCAGCTCCGCAGCGAGTGTGACCACCACAGCGAGTGTGACCAGCACAGCGAGTGTGACCAGTAGCGCCCCGTCAATGAGTAGCTTGAGGAGTACAGATTCTTGGCGGCATGAACCACCCGGCAGGTTCTTTGGTTGAAGGGTCGTGCGTTCGCTGCAGCTTCAATGCCTCACCAGGCTACAGCTGCAAATCTCCAAAACGAGGGACACCAGTCCGAAACATTCCTGTCATCTTGACTTTAATCACATCACCATAGCCAACATTTTGCACTTACCCTGAATGACCAACTATACCACCTCTCTCATCAGCACTTACAGTAGCATCCCATCGGGTCCTAGTAGAATGATGTAAAATGATTCAATCTTATATACAACTGGTCATTCTTTCCATCACCTTCCCACCAGGTCGACCTAACCTAGCTTGCTACCGATCTAACTTGGGAACCTCCGACACGCCGCTCCGATCCCCTCGAGCGACGAACTTCCCACGAGGCTTGTGTCTCCACGAAGCGCCGCTTGCGCGGGAAACAGCCCGACGAGCGGAACGAGCACGCAGAAAAAAGAAGAGGAACGTGAGGAGCGCAGCGGTGTTGCAGCGCATGCACCACTTCGGGTTCCGAGGGTTGGTTGAAGTGGTGATCTTTGGGATGGGAGTTTTTTTTTTTTGCCATCGCAAAGACGTCCCACCCAAAAAGACCAGCATGACTCGAAGATATGGCCCATATATGGCGTAAGGAACCAAAAACACACCGAGAGAAGCCGGTGCCCCGTCCTTCCTTTTTTTGACCACGAAACGACGAACACCGACACCGCGCGGTCCGGGGGCGGTCGGATCCCCCCAGTCGGCTGACCTGGATGAGCTGGCGTTTTGGCTTCGGGTCGATCTTCTCCCGAAGAAAATCCCCGGTTCCTGGGGAAGAGGTTTCAATATGTTTTCATCTTATTGTTTGGTTCCTGGACAGCAAATCCAATAGGAAAATCGTAGCATCCTCCCGGCCTAAGGCCAAAGTGTTCCTTCCACTGCAGATGCCTCAGTGAAAATGGGAGTGGCGCAAGATTTGGCAGAGTTCGCTGCGTGGGGGAGAGCTCAAACGGTTAGAGTACTGTGCACTAGGTGGATTAGGTGTCATGTTGAACATGACACTTGGACCCTTAAACTACGCTTGTAAAAAACACCGGTGAGAATACGTGGGTATAAACTCGAAATGGTGGACTCAACTCAACACCTACCTATATTTCCCCAAACAGTTTACTGTTGGGGTTCTATCTTAGAAATTGGCCTCAACGAATCGTTTTGAAACTGTTTGGGGTCTATGTCTATGCTGGTATAATTTCCAGGGTTTTGTTGACATGTGACTGTGCTACAGACTTTTCGGTAGTTGTCAGATTGACGTGCTGTGCCAAGGTCCCTTTGAGACAGCCTGGTGCCCCACAAGCGCAAGCACCTGCGTCACAGCAGAGCTTGTCACAGCAGCAAGCACCACAGCAGGTGCAGCAGCAAAGGCCACAGCAGGTGCAGCAACCTTCACAGCAGGTGCAGCAAACATCACAGCAGGTGCAGCAGCCGGCACCTCAGCAAGAGCAGCAAGCGCAGCAACCGCAGCAAGCACGACAGCAAGCACAGCAAGCATCACAGCAGGTGCAGCAACAGACGCCGCAGATGGTTTCGCGACAGCCACAGCAAGCACCACAAGCACTGATGCAAACCGCACCGGCTGGTTATCCCTCTGCATTTTCGAGCCAGTCCGGTACGGGCTCTCAATCTCTTCAGCTCTATCGGATGCTCACACCGCCACCCACCGAGTCGCAGTTACCCAGGGCCAGCGGGCATGCGCCGGTGATGCGACAACCGACCATGCCGGTGATACCGACGCAAAAGCCGCCCGTGTCCTCCCGGCGGAGTTTGGGAGGGTCGAAGGAGGGGTCCGAGGACGGCGTGGGAGTGGCGGAGCACCATGCGTGGCACCGGAGGAGAGGCATGGGGCCGGCAGACCTGGTACTATGACACAGGGGTGTGGAGATGCGGGCAAAGCCACCGTCAGCACCTCTTGCGTGCTGACTTGTTGGATTGTGAATTGATTCACCCATTGAGCACAGTAACACGCACCATATACAGTATACAGCAAGGACAGTAATCCGCACCATGCTGGACGGACAGGGGTATATACCAAACGCACCATCGACCCGCGCATCAGACCCGACCTCCGATGGTCGACTCCGAGAGTCGACGTGCCAGGGCCCACGTCGCTCGGGAGCTCGGTGGGAACGAACGGAAGCTCCGTGGGGGGTCAGAGAAAATGGATCAATCCATTGGTCAGAACTCCAGTGGCACCCAATACGGGTGTTCGTCAAGCCGCAAAGCCGCAAAACCCATTGGTCAGAGGGGAAAACACACAGGTGCCAGGGCAGATCTTGGCAGATCTTTCATGACGTGGAACACGGGTGAACGGAACCTGTTGAAGCGGTTTCAGAATCCTTTTGAGAAGGGATTTGCAGTTTGGGAGCATCGCATTGTGCTTAGAAAGACGTACTCTGACAAAGGGTGCAATGCAGGAGAGACTGTGAAACGCAAAGATTTGGAATCTCACCATGCTCTGTGCCAGCCGGATGAGTTCGATCAACGCGTCTGCAACCCTCCAGTTGTGAAGTTCGGGATTTTGAGAGGTTGCCCTCGCGTCAGCCGGGTGTGCAGCGGTGTGAATCAAAGGTCGGACCCACTGTCAGCCGGGTCCAGTCGTGAGTCCGAGATTCGTCGCCATGCCATCCTGGCGCCAACCGAAAAACACCGTCGACTCTGAGGCATGTCTATCAGCCTCTTGAGGTGATTTGGAAGGTGTCCAAAAACCACTGAATTTGGAAGGTTCTGGTACAGGTAAAACATGGTTAAAGAAAAAACACTTGTTTGATTTTTGCTTCCTAGCTACCCTTGGGATTCAACCGACTCTGGACACACCGCTCGATGTCAAGGTCCGAAAGGGAGCAGAAGGCGAGATGAGCGGAAGTAGGGATCAGATTGGTCAGTGCACCAAAGTGATATCTATATAATATTTAAAAATATAGGTTTTGAGGGACCAAGGGCTGTTTGGAGCGTCTGGGTATGAATATAGTACACTTATTGCAATCTGCATGATAGACAGCAACTTTTGCAAAACATCAGAGAATCCGTCTTAAACTCATTGGGAGGAAATGGGGAAAGGATTTATCAAAGACACTTGCCAAGCCTGGGCCCAACATGTGTGTCCTTTACATTCAGCCAAGAATACCCTACGACCCTGAGACCTTGTATCCCGTATCTACACTGGGTCAAACCAGTTTCTACCAGTTTCCCTTAGCCTTCGCCCAAAACCTCAAACCGATGGAGCACGTCGCCATGACGTCGGACCGGACGAGCTGCCGAGCTGCGACGCCGTGCCGCGTGGAGGCTCCTTTGTGACGGTCCGCCCGGCCAGGGCGACCTTTGCCGCACAGGAGCCGGGGGAAAGTTGGAGGGGCAGATGGGGCAGATGAAGCAAAGTCAACGTCGAACGAGAGAATGTGGATGGGATCTGTTTGAATCTACAGTATGCTGTACCATTTTTCTGAATATCGTATGAACAGCGACAGATGTCCTGTAAAATTTGGACTCGGTATGAGATGGACAGGCTTGGGGAAGAGCTCGCACCTTTCCTTCGATGGCGTTTTTGCCTTGGGGAAAGCTATCATGCAGATCTTAAAGATGGAGGCTCGATCTACTAGTTACTAGACCCAACCTACGCTTAGTCAGTGCTGATGGTCGGATTTGCCACACACGGTAGCATACCTCTTCTTGGAATACTTTGCATTCAGCAATCCATAAGCAATATGATGCAATATGTTTATTTCGAGGAAACACATAGCGAGGTATTGTTCTCCAGGCAAAGAACATAAAACATGGGAGATTCCAAATCTATGACAGAGAAAAACCATCTCCAACAGCCACCAAATAGCATAGGATGTTCGAAGCACTACCCTCAAGATAAAAGTTTACATGTGTCAAGCAGTGATTGCTTCTAAGCGCCTGGTCAGAGATCATTCACATATTTTTTCAACCAATTCTAAGAACCAGGCTTAACACTGGTAATTGGTAGGACTTGTATCCAATATCACCAGAGATCAACATGTTACCAGTCTTATCCAACCATTGGTCGTTTTCAGCCGATCAGCCACGGATCAGCCGACATGGCGGCCGTGCGGCCAGCCGTGCAGCTTGTCTCCGATCCGCTAGCCTCGCTCCGCCGCGAGGTGCCTCCGAATCCGCTGCCGGGGGCCCAGAGGAAGATCAGGTACAACATGGTACAAGTTGTACAAATTCATGGGTTACGTGGATGGCACCATTGGTTTGTAGAGGAATTTTTGGGGCATCCAACGCTTTTCATGTTCTTTTTTGTGGAACAGGATGGAAAAGGCATGTCCCCGACTTCGGAGGACCATGCAATCCGAATACCAAAACAGGGTGGTGAAATCCAGTTCCATGATGTTTCCAGGGAGAGTAGATCTGGTGGTCTCGAGCTCAAACGGACCAAACGTGGACCTCCAAAAAGTAGGGGGAACCGACCGATGTCCATGAACCCTTTATGACCCCCCCCTTCCGTGATCCCTTCAGTGATGGGTCTCTAGTCACCGTTTTTCACTTCCTTGAACTATATACCAGCACCCGACTCTACAGGTCTCCTCTGGAGGCTTTTGTATATAGACTTAAAAGTCGCAGGTGGTGACCTGTTGGAGGGTACTGGTATATGTTAACGACCCGTGCAACGATGCATTTCAGCTTCACATGCAAAGGCGCGAACGGGTGCTGTGCGCCCACCGGGGTCGCCGAGAGTTTGTGCCGACCAGGGCGCCGACCCGCGCCTCCTTTGCGTAGAGGTGGGTGGACGCCCGCGTTTCTTTTGGCAGGGCTTGGCAGCCACTGAACCATGGGAAGTGCCTGGTGTTTTGTTTGGTACGTTCGTTCCTAGCTGTGCTTTTCCTTTCGATTGCTAACTTCGACAGTCAGACCCAGCAGTTCATGTCAGATGAACACAGCCGAACGTCACGTGACTGGTCGCCAGGGGCGCCGCCTCTCAGATGCAGCGGCGGTTTCACCTGCATGGGATTCAAGCTCGACGCGACCAGATGCAGTGTACCAGTTCTTTTGGAAGAACACATGTCCAGCGAGCATGGACTGAACCTGCTAAGGCACCCACCCAAATTGCACCTTTGCCTATAGTAGTTCACCTTTAGATTCACCTTAAGGGGTCAAGAATGCGGTTTCCCCATGCTTTAGATCTGTTTAGATTTAGATTTAGAGCGTTGCTCTATCATGCCTTTCTGTGGGTATCATTGTTTGGCTTGCTGCCTTTTCAGCATTCAGCTGACACAATACTGACTCAACAAACAAGGGAAACTGATGCACCCCCAAAAAGGAACTGACACAGCAACAGCCATGAACTGACACATTGAAAACAGCGACCTAACACAATAACGATCGTGAACTGACACTTTGACAATTGATCACCTGACACAAAATCCGTGGCCGCTGAACTGATACAACAAGAACGTTCCAACTGAACAAGTCCAAGTCCAAGTCAAAGTCCCAAGTGACGCTCTGTCATGGCTTGTGCTCTTCACTTGGCGGATAAACCAGTCTACTCCGAATTGCTCTTTTGGATGCTCATGACTGCACGCGGGCTGTCGATGCTGCGACGGCACATGGCTGTCGTATTAGAGCGGGGCTTGTCAGGCGATGGGACAGATCCTGCAAAATCCATCGCGCTTTTTGGGAAGAGTTGTTGGGATTGAACATGAATTCCATTGACCCATGAAAGAGAGGACCAAAGGACTGCGCCCAGTTTCAGCATGTTCCTTGATGTTCAGCATGTTCCTTGACTCGGCGGTGCGTTCTACACTGACAAGCCTCGTGCTTCCCAGATTGTGCGAACAGAAAGATGTCTGCTTTCGATGTCTCTCAGTGCCGAAGGGCTGTTACCCTACTGTCCATGCGAAGGGCTACCGGTGTGAACAAACCCCCGTTGTATACAGAGGTGGCTGGTGGCTGGTGGGTATTCTTTGGTGTTTTAGCTGAAGAAGGTGTGCCAAATCGCGGTGCATTCTTGTGTAGATGAGTTCTCCATATTTCTCCATCTGTTCCTTTCGCACGCCCTCTTCTGTAACCCTGAACCCTTTAGCTGGCTTCGACAAATGTGTTCACCCCGAGCCGGAGCCCACACAGAAGATTCCATCGAGTGGGGTTGAAACAATTTGGTTCGCCATCCACTGGCATGTTCAGAAGCAGGGCTTGGACCGTTCATGGACCGGTCGCGGCACCGCGAAGCGAGACACCGGCGAAGCGAAAGACACCGGAGAAGCGGAGGCCAACAAAAACGTGGGTCAGGTCATCGCGCGGAGGATGGAGGTGGTCTACTGTAGAAGAAGCTGTTCTTTTTGCAGAGTTACCACTGGTAGACAAGCATTTGAGTACTGAAGGCTGGGTCATTTTCCCTTGTTTTTCCATCTCTTTGTGGGGGGTTTATGGTGGTCGAGCGTTTCTGTGGTCTTGGAGGATGAGATCCCATCAAAAAACCCATCCCCCCTCTGAAAAGCGACTGTAGATCTGGTCCAGAAGCTCGGAGGCGACTGAGTCGAGTTGGGTGCGAAGCTGGATGTTCAGCAACTGTGCTGCGCTTCCACGTGACGACTGCGCTTTGGTGGTTTTGAAGTCCCAAAAAGATCCCAAACGCATTTGAAGTTCAAAGATACTCAAGATACTCAGATACTCAAGTGATTTCTCTCAAGCTGGGCCCAGTTCAGACGTCTCGTCTTCCGTGGATGCTTCTCCGACGGTCGGTCCGATTCATCCATCTCCTTCCTCCTTCCTCGACTCAGTGCCTTCCTCGTGGTGCCTTGGAGTTGGCTAGAGGAATCGCGCCATCGGCGCTAGAGTCGTCCACGGACGTGAGAAGCCCAGGAACCCAGGAACCCAGGAACCGTATATATATATATATATATCTAGTCAGTGGCACAAGCTTTAACATCCTTGAAAAACCGCTTTTGGTGAGGTTTCTCTTTGTAAATCCAGGTGGTCCAGGTGGAACCTTGGGAGAAAGCATGGTCCAAGGGCCTCATTGGATAAGTATATGTATATGTGTGACCGGACCGAAACGAGGTCCTTGACCTTTTCCACCCTGGCCGGTTTCCGCAGCCTTTGTTGGACCAATCCCGGTCCACCACCATAAATCACTGGGGACCGCGTCGCGTCCGCGCGATAAAAAACAGCGATCGCAGTGGCTCAGTGGCTCCGGGGGGCGCGTCCCCGGCGTGTGTGTTTTGGAAATGGCCTTGAGCACGGGACCGGGTGGTCTAGGTGCGGTCTCCCGAGCCGAGCGGGTTCGGAGAGCAGAGAGCAGAGCAGAGCTCTGCGAGCAAGAGAGAGCATGGGGGAGGTATGTGAGACGTGCCCCGCAAAAAGCGGGCAATCCTTCGTCTTATCGTTCTTTCACCAAGAAGCTGGCATAAATTCGTCCACATCCGCACCCGGGTGCATCTCACTGACCATGAGTAGAATGTCGACATAGTCAGCCTACACTGAACGGGCTTCAGATTTTGACCCGCCATGATCAAGAGCACCTCCTGGAGTTCCCCTAAGAAGCACTTTACACCGTTACAACATCTTTCTTGCTTCCCAAGAGACCAACCAGCCACTGGCCATGTTGCAAAGAGAAAGGGACATGGTGATACTAGTGGAATCAACATGAAAAAATACTTCTCATCTGGTTAGGAGTGAGGTTTGTTTGGTGTTCCACTAGAGTGCCAACTGTATCTTTTCCCTGAGGCCCATGTGCGGCACCCCTGCGTGTGGCGCCTTCGCGCCACGGTTTTGAGGCGCCTTGGTTTTGGTGTCGGCATCTCTTCTTGTAGCACTTGGGGTCAGAGTCGCGGCTCCCACGTCGCTTGACGCTCCGTGTCAGCGGTCAGGGACACTCTGTCAGGCGGACCACCGACGAGCAGCGTGAGCTCAGGGTAGACCGGTCACAAGTAGACCCAATGTACGTTTGTTTTCACATTGTTTCACTTGGTCCAACGTCCGGCCAACGAGTGCGGAAGTGGAAAGCTACTGGTACAGTTTCTAGAGGGAGCAAGGCTTCCAAGGGCATTTGTTGGATGGAGAGTCTCCCGCTCATACATGTACTTCCACTGAACACTCCCAATGATCAACGCTCACATGTACTGCTGGGGTCTTTCAGCACCAACATCTCTTCTTTTGCCTTGGCACAGGATGTCCATCCATCCTCAAACAAAGATTTAATATGTATGTATAGGTCACACCCACAAAAGTGGCTCTCATTCATTTCGACACTCTTCCTTGGGGAATTCTGCCCAGTTGTCTTTGCGTTATTGCCGAAACCATTGACCTCCTGAACCGCTCCATGCCATGCATGAACCGCTCCCTCTCTGATCCACAATATTCCTGGAGTTGAAGGCTGGTGGTGTTTACATCGAACCTCTAGGGTTCGCCCGAAGGTTCGAACCACCTGGAGCTCCAACAAACTCGGGGACGACTTCGGTCGCCGAACGTGCACTGTGCACAACGTTCCGATGCCCCCACCACCCGGTCAAAAAACGGCTAGTCCAGCATGCTCCAATTCCGCCTAGACACGAGAAGTTCTATTTGGCATGGTTTGGACATCTTAGAGACCAAGAAACGCACGAACACACCAGAGTTTTCGTTGCTCATGTGCTGGAAAGTAGAGCAAAGCACAGTACGGAGCGAGACCAGCGAGACCCCTACACTCCGTTGGGTATTCGACCATGGAAGTGGAATGGAAGCCACCTGTTGGGTATTCGGAAAATGGTCATCCAAGGGCAATGCCTTCCACTTACATGTCATACATACAATACTTCTATGACTATTTCAAGGAGTGTAAAGCCCCCCACCTATTCCACCGGACCAAAGCGAGAGGCGGTCGCTGCGCCCGAAGGCCGGGCAGCCAGCCGGCAGGCGCCGTCCGAAAGAAACAGATTGGTTCTGCGGCCAAACACAACTGATTGGCAGGTTTGAGCACACTTCTGGTTTGGTAGGTTGGGAAGGTTGACAAGGGTCACAGATCCAATAGATGTGAAAGGAGACATGTTCTCAGGGTGGGAGGGTGGGTGATTTTGGTACAGTGATGGCTCGGCAACCTGTCAACCCTTGTCCCATCGCGTCAGACCTCTCTTCGGCCAGCGCTGGTGCCAGCGCTTGCGCTGCCGGTGCTGGCGGCAACCGGTCGCAGGGCAGCGCGAGTGGGAAGGCGGCGGACTCGTCAGCCTGAGAGCATGCTGTGTCATCCATCAATAAACTTATATATATATATATTGTAATTGTAGACTCTTGATGAATGTATCCCCCCCATATGAAGGGGATTTTGCAATTCAAATGGGGGGGTTTTAAACAAGAGTCTACATTTTTCGTAATTCCATATAAGATTTCTCATGGATTTCCTTCCAAACAAAGGGCCCAACTCACATGGATCCTTCAAGCTGGAGTCCTGGTCACCATACCACCTGGTCACCTTGTAGTGAGGTCGTGCAACCGGTCGGTCTTTTGCTGCTCTTGACCCCCCCCCACAATCGAAACGCGCTGGGTTGGTCCGACCTTTCTTCCTCTTTGGTGGGGTTGATTGGCACGTGTACCGACATACACATGCCCACCGAGTCCACGTTTCAGTCCGGGGTATGTCAGGTGCCCCCCATGTCCATCCGGGGCTCCTTGGGCGCGGACGACCCTTCACGCCGGGGTCCACAGCTCGCTCCGGGTCACGCCAGGAGGAGCTGGGCGAAGGGCCGAAACTTGGTCGGGACCAACACCAAGGCCGGACGACTGTCGAGGGGAGACGGAGACGACTGACCCATCAGGCGAGGGGACCGGAGAGACGTGTGGAGTTTGGGGAGGTGGCCGATCTTGGCCAGAAAGGTCTGGCCCCCCCCCCCCCCACCGTTCGAACGGTAGGCTCTTGCGACCTCGAAGGCTTGGCCACACGACATCCGAACACCAGCAGCTCGCTGGGAACGGGTGTTTTCGAACAAGTCTTGGGGACGCGGGCTGTTTGGGGCAAAGGTTCCATATGGTTCCCGAAGACTTCGTTTGGTGGTCTGATGTGGACCCAAGAAACTCTCAGCGTTTCTTCAGTGATGTCTGCCTGCGGTGTCGCCCAAAGGTTGTTTTGGCCAAAGGAGCAAGCCTTCTTCCGTGGCTTTTCACTTCTTGCATCTTCTTGCCACTTTCACCACTTTCACTCGGCTCGACATTCCAGGCATAGATGACCCCGTCAAGGGTTGGACTTTCCCTTGGCTTTTGCCTCACTTTCCATTGGTCCGTGCCAGGAGACCTCCAATGCGCTGCCGGAGGACAAGAGGACCGCCGCAGACGTGATTTTGCGTTCGGCGGCTGGGATTCTGCTTTTCGGAGGTGATTTCGTGCGAGCCCCGAGCGGAAACCCAGGTTCGCGGCCCCATGTTGATGGGCTGAAATTTGGATTTTGATAGGATTGCGGATGATTTTTTTCCTGTTTATTCTCGGAGATCATTTTGATGCTCGAAGGTTCCCAAACCTGTGAAGCATCTGACTTGCCATCCCCAGGGCCTTGCTCACAGGGGTGTCCAATAGACGCCCTACACTACCCAGAGGTCTCCATTGGACACCCCTTTGGAGGGCTTAATAGAAGAACCATTGGCGTTGTGCGTTGCTCTCCCTGGGTCGGACAGGCTTCCGTGAAGAACGCGTGAAGAACGTGTGGGTGGCGCTCCGGTCTGGCTGAGTTGGGTCCGGGATTTGAGAACACAAGAAGCTCAAGAATTGGCCTACAGAAGGGGATATGATACAACTCTGTGACTGTCAACCCCCTAAAGATGGTAAAGCCAAAGTATCAAGTTCTGTACGTGCTCAAAAAATGCCAAGGGGTGATTTGGAATCATCCCTCAGAAGACCCTTCCAAAAAAGAACGGCTTTTTCAGGTTCATCAGAAACCGGACTGGGAAACGGGCGATTCTTAGGTCGAAGGACCGGGACAGGACGCGACGCAGCCGCGACGCAGCTTCCAGGATTTCGATCCTGGGATCGACTGGCAGCAGGGGAGCCTTTTGCGAAGTGTGTTCGACGGAGTTGAGACGCAGCTGCGATTCCGATGGAGCGGTGTCTGGCGCAGGGACTGTACTGTCTGAGGTAGATCTTTTGGGTGAGGTCGGATTTTTTGGGTTTTGGCTAGTAGGAACATGTAGTCATGTAGCAGACACTAATTACCTGAAGAGCCGGAGATCGTAGAAAGAATGCCCAAGTCGTTTTCACACCACATCACATCAGAGGCCTTAAGGAGGATTCTCCTCCTCCGTGGCTGTAATGGGAGAAACTGTGTTGGTGGTCGATGATTTGGCAAGGTCTGCGTAGCCAACCCTTGAGGGAAATTTGAAGGAACACATAGCCCGAGCCATATGTTCGCATCCCCAATCAGATAACAAGGTTTCTGAGACCCGTCAAACCTTCGAAGAAAGGTATTGACATTGATCCATGCACATCCTGCCAATCTGTAAGCTACTAGTAACATCTAGTAACAAGAAGCTACTAGTAGCTAGAAGGTTCCTTGGGAATCGTTTCACTGGGAATCGTTTCACCTGTAGTAACAAGAAGCCTCCGGGACCGCTGCGAGGCATTGGCACTCAAACCTTGGACATTTGCCGGCAGTTCCCGGGGCGGTTCAAGCCTGTGGCCCTGGCGGCAGGCCGAGATACGTCGCGGAGGTTGGCGGTTGAGCCACATAAACACACACACACACACACTTAGTCGCAGGGTTTTCAGTTGATCCTGATCAAGCCTTTAGCAAAGAAGAAAGACCTAGAAAACGAAGAGCAACAGAAAGAAGAAAAGCAGGACATGTCCGAAGTGATTATCTAGCGGCGTGTCCTAAAGTGAATACTTAGCAGCATGGTATGTCATTCTCTGGAGGAAATTCAGTAGGCCCTGCGGATATTATGAGCAGCATTCTCGAGAAGCCGGCTGAATCAGCAATGGTCGTGCAAGAACGAAACATCAGTCAAGGATCACCCTTAAGGGCGTATGCAAGACGTGCCCCTCGGCGGGGATCACACAACAGACCTCAGTGGGACCCTGTTGCGAGACACACTTAGATCAATGCTCGCAAGAGCTGTATCAGTTGCGACATCCCCGTGTGCTAGTTGCTGAATACTTAGCGCTTGACTTGCAGAACCGTAAAAGTGAAGGGTCAGTCAACAGAAGGTTTCAACAAGGACTCATTAGCCCCTACTCTGTACAAATGAAAGTCCCTCAGTGTGGTCATATTCCTTGGAAACAGGAGTTGACGCACACACACACACACATAGAGAGAGTGTGATCCAGAGGTTTGTTTTTGCCAGCTTCCCTGAAAGGCTGGTCACATGGTACAGTAGACGTTGGCGCTTGCACCTGTTTTGTGGGGCTATGCAAGGGCAATCACAGTAAGAGCCTTCTTTTTTATCACAACTAAAAGCCTTACTTAATTTTACTGTATCCAGCTCAAAGTCACTCTTTGTTGGTAAGAGCACCACTGCCTTGCAGGCCGCAACATTGAGCTGCTCTTGGAACAGATCAAAGAGCTGCTTTCACTCAAGGGTTTGTGGGGGGTTACACTGTGACTCGGTCACTTGGAAGACCTTGGAAAGGCCACAGACGATTTTCCACTGCTTAAAGGGGGCTTTGCCACTTCGAGTTGGATGGGTAAATTGGGGAACGGCGAGGCGAAGATCAAGAGGCTTGCCGAGTTTGACCCTTTCAGCCAAGGTTGGAGCATTTATTCAAACTTTTGCTTCTAGGTGAGGTAGCACTAAAGTTGACGGATTTGAGTGATTCTTAAAGGTTTTTTGCCATCAATTGCAAGGAATTTTGGCCGTTTCTGGGATCCACTTGCGTCTCTTCTCCTCCACGAATCAGTTGAAATTTTGGAGGTCTTGAGCTGGGTGATTGAGCCCATCCATCCGGTTGATCCATCTTTTCCTGCCATGTTGAGGTTTAAGCCCCAGATGGTGGCCTGCGATGAGCCAGGGCCCCCGGTCGTTGGCTTGTGGCCATGGCGGTGAGTGCACAGGCAGGTTTCCGAGCTCCATGGGCGTTGACCTTGTAAGCCTTCTGATGCACTTATATAAGCATTGAAATCATGAGCAGCATATATGGGTGTGATTGGGTGGGTCTCCCCTTCCAGGCAACGACCCTGTGCAACCCGGCAAGGGGGTCTCCCTATTCAAACACACACCGATATCGAACATAGTTGAACTACCAGCTTGGTGACGCACCCTTGGTGTCAGGACTTGGTGGAAGTTCGAGTTCGGCTGACGCCAGGGCTGACGCCAGGGCAGACGCCCACGCATGAAGCGAAGACAGCGCAGAGAGTCTAAGGTCGAAGTTGGATGAACTCAAGGAAGGTGTCAAGGCCTTGGGCATCCCAGACTACGAGCCTGTCGGGGACCCGAAGGTGGAAGGGAAGGTGGAGGGTGTTTTTTTCATGCAAAAGAAACACGCAACACCCAGCAATAGCCCCAAGTGGCTATTCATGGTTTTATAATGTATATACATGTCTTTTTCATTCTTGGACCGGCACTTGGGGATTCAGCATCATGTTGGCCAAATCTGGGGTCATGTTTCTTTTTTTGGTTGGCATTCTCGTTAGAAGTCTGTGATTTCTGTGATCACAGCCACCACACCGTTCCACCAGTCCCAAAAACCCTCGTTTTCTGCTAGACCGTTCTGGCGCTCGGACCGTTCCCACCAGGTCCTTTTGAGTGGCCCCGAGGGGCAGATCGAAGTGGCCCGACATCCGGACCGCCCGGAAGCGTGACGACTGACCGGGTCGGGTCGGGTGGAGCGGGTCAGGGGACGGGCGTGGGCGTGACAGGGCTGACAAGGCGTCAACGGGTAGGTGGATGCCTCGTGGGTTGGCAGGAAACCGGAAAAATGGGAGGGAGAAGTGGACGCGTGATGTGATTGGCGTACCAAGTCTCATTTGTGATGTGGTTGATGATGTGCTGTTAACACGTTGTTTTGCGCACTTGGGAAGTTGTCCGGGTGCCGGCAGTCAGTTCTGCTGCAGTCGGGTTGGATGTCCTCCGTTGGCCCTTCTTTGAGGGCGTTGGACCTCCGCGTGGTTTTTGGGTCGGGCCATCCAGTGAAAAGCCAAGACATCTGACCCACCAGCTGCTTCCAGTTCCGGGTCACGGACCAGCCATCCCACTGCTTTTTTTCGTCTCCAGACGCACGGGCACCCGTGGGGTTCGACCTGTTCAGTACCAGGCTGTGCCTGCCTAAACGATCGGCCCAGGCGGGGCGGCGGGATCCCGTTCGATCCAGGATCCCGTTGCACCCTGTGTTTGAAGTCGGAGATATGCTGAGCGAAATCGATTTCCTGCTTATCTTGCAGAGAAGTCTCCACTTGAGGGGGAGACCCCTTTCTTATCATACTTCTATGAAAGACCGCTTGCAATAGTTCTTACTGAAACGGATCTTTCATAGACCACTTGCAGAACTATTTCCTCATTTTCGCCAGGACTGCAAGACGGTGGTCACTGGCATCGTTGGCTGTGCAGGGTCTGGACGCCCAGCAAACGCTGCAAGTCTTGCCCGGCGGCCGAGCTCTCGCCTGGGGGTCGGGTCGTGATGAAACATGGTCTTCCAGGTGTTCGGCATCCACTTTCCGGAGGGAGGGAGGAACGCAGGTCGTCCGACTTCCCCAAACAAGCTTGGAGGCACTGACGGGGACATGCACGGACATGGGTGGTGTTTCTTTTTTTTCTCCCACCTATAGGAGCTGTTCTGAAGAAAGGGGATCGGCCAAGACTGGAGACAGCATCTTGCGATTATGCACCATCATTCTATTCGTTGCGGTGCATGAGGATCGGAGGCAGATGGTGCCTTTGCCCGTCATTGCCCGTTGGTTCAAGGCTTCTTGGGAAGATTCAGCCCCACATCAACACGAGAAGCCATCCTCAAACCTGTGAAACAGCTCCAAGTGACGACGGTGACGGCCCAAGATTCTGCTGAGACTTCCATTCACCGTTCCAAAAAAGACGGGTCGAAATGGCCCCAAACGCACCGAACAGATCACATCGATCTGTCGAAAAATCGAACGTTCTCCGTCCTCCGACGTTCTCCGAGATCTTTGATCCCAACACCCGCATGCACGGACCTCCGTCGCGTTGCGCGGCCGAAGCCCCCCCCCCCTGCCGGACCGTGCGGTGCCGAAAAAGCACCGGCGATGGATGCGACCATGGCACCTCTGGTTTTCATCCAGATGGGTGGCACCATCGACAAGGTGGATCGGTGAGTCTTGTTGTATAGCATGCTCGTTCCAACATCTGTCTACCATGCTGTAGATTGTTTTTAGACGTCAGTGGACCATCTTGTGGACCGTTTGGTTTAAGGAGAGCCTGTGACTTAGCAGACTTAGCAGACTTAGCAGGTGCACCACTCAAAAGCGCCAAAGCTAACGAGCAGTGTCAGCGGCTGAGGCAAAGCAACTCCCGGTTCGTGTCTCTCTTTTTCAGGGCAGGTGAGCTCTGAAGCGTCCAAGAGAAGTGCCCCAGGCACTACTCAAAAAATAAGTGAAAGTCACCACAGTCATCTGGTCATCACGGACACAATGCCAAGCAATCAGGTGTGTCTGTGTCAGGCCAGCAAGCAGCAGACACAGAACTGATGCGTTCTATCTCAGTTCAAAGGTTGACACCTTTTAGAGAAGCAACTAGCGCAGTTGTCGCACTCAATTTGCGACACTTTCCGAGTGGTAATGCAAAGAGTGTGAGACACTTAAAGCAGCCCTGAGCATTCAAAGAGGTGAAAGTCATTGCCCTTCTGGCCGATTTCGAGACTTCAACCCCAAAGGGAGGATGGAACTGGATGGATCAATCAATCCTTGGTAAGGGGTTTCAAACGTTTTTCACTATCTTGAGGTTTTAGTCAGCTACAACTTACAGGATCTCTATTTCGTTTTATTCATTGGAAAGGCAGCCAATCTGCAACTTGTCAGAATCTTGGGAGTCTTTTTTACCCCATGCAACAAAAACAAGAAATGCAAAACAAGAAGCTGCAATAGGGTGGATTTCTCCGATTTTCTTCAAGCCCGGAGCTCTTGGCAGGGCTACCCCAGAAGCCTCAAGGGCTATGCCTTCGAGATCGGCGACCCGGCGGCGGTGCGCATCGCGGAGCGTGCACGCCTGGATGGCGATGGTCTGGTGTTCCAGAGCGTGTGCCGGAAGGATAGCCAGGAGGCCGGTTTCACGGGACGGGAGGGATGGGGATGGGTGTGTGTGGGGCTCACATAGGACCCTGGAAGGTTCGGAAACTAGACCAGTCTACCGAGGGGGATCTCACTATCAACACACCCATATCATGTGAGGACGAGGGATGCACTGACCATGTGTGTGTAATGCTTGGAATTATAGGGCGCCTTTTGACTTTTTACTATTGCAGGGGGGCTGGTTGTTCATGCAAGTACCAGTCCAACGAACACTGATATCGGTGAGGACGCTCACCGACGAACCTGCGTCATGAACGGATGACCTCTTTCTTGGCTTCGGTTTGCAGTAAAGGGCTAATGAGCTCGGCCGACTTGCGTTTGTGGATCGTTTTGTGTGATGCTCTGAAACTTAAACTCGAAGATGCTTAGCAATTGGACCCATTGAGCTCGCAGGAGGTGCGCATTTGGATTTTCCATGTTGCAGCCACTCGCAGCCGCTTGCAAGTGGCTGCCAAGTGGCTGCAAGTGACTGCTACTTCTGTCCGGAGTCCGGAGAATATCATGATTTCTCCGCATGCAGTTCTCCAGAAAACCAAGATTTCTGCAATGCTGTTCTGCGAAGAAATCCGGTTTTCTCCCGAGAGCTGCGCGCGGAGAAATGATGAAATATTCCAAGACTTTTCGGAGAATAAATTCCAAGCTTCTGCAGAGCTAGCGACGAAGAAACCTTACATTTTTTAGATGAAGAACTCAAAGTGCAGTGTTGAAGTTTACTTGCTTGAGTGACAAGTGGCTGCAAGTGGCTGCCAAGTGGTTGCCTGAGCAAGTGGCTGCAAGTGACTGCAAAGCCAAAAATCAGAATGCACGTCATTTGCTCGCTCTCTGATTAGTCCGGCGCGCGTTTTCCTGGTTTATTGAGGCCTCTGTGTGGCATGTGGCATTCAGACCGTAGGCAGCGGCTTGTACAAGTGCCTGTGTGGACCAATAGGCAGACACCGGACCAGTGGGGTTTTGTCAATGTTCCTTCTTGCAAAAGGTCTTTGGAGGGGTTGAAAGGCAAGGGGCCCTTAGATGGGCGGCAAGGGTCCCCAGATGGGCTTCTGGGAGGCTAGGAGACTTTCTGGAAGACATTCGCGGACTAGAAGTGGGTATAGTAACAACCCTGTACTATGTGGTGAACTTCTTAAGGCTGGCCAAATTGCTTGGGCCTATCTGAGTAGTGCACCATTGGTCTGTTGCTGGACTGACCGTGAAAAGGTGGGATGAGGATTGCAGAATGGAATGCCCATTTTTTGTTTGTCCTCAAGATAGAACGTTTCTGGTTCGAATTGCAGAGGTGGCGTGGAGCTGCATGATTTCGTAGTGATGCCAAACACTTTTTGGTCACAGGTCACTGATGAGGACCGAAAACAGCTGCTCCGCTGTGTGCTAGAGCTCAAGGACAAAGCCCGCGTGGTGGTGACACACGGCACTGAGACTTGGGTGAGGCCGAGTGGACGTTTTTCTTTCCTTTTGGTTCCTTGGATAAGATCAGCTTCGCCTTCTGGGGAATGTTGACGTTGACCAATCATGACTGTTGGCACGGTTGCATTTCTTGAAGGGTCCCATGCTCGCATGATGATTGGTCGCAAAAACATGCTCAACTGACTCAACTGGGCAACCCCGAATAGTGCTCATATGGTTGCGGGTCATGGCACCAGGAGAGTGTCGGTCGTTCGCGGCAAATGGTGGACTGGTGGGGCTCCAGGTTGAACCACTCATTTAAATCAACAAGTGTGGTATAATACATGCTTACATTGACCCCTGAAATCCCTTTGGACCTTTGCAGAACTGGTCTTTCACCCCCTATGAGAAAAAACTCCCACGTAATTAGCGCAGGTGCTCAAGCGGGGGTGAAGTCCCAGCCGCTGGGTCACGGCCTTGAAGTCTAAGGTAGACAGATGATTCATTAATTTCCCAGACATGGATTGTAAGACCTCTTCATATGGAAGGTTGCACTGTCAATCAAGAGTCTACAGTCTACATTAGAGATGATAAACACCACTGTTTCGTTTTGGATTCGTGATGCACACAGGCACACCCAAAAGCTGAACACCTCCATGGGGACTTCATGTCCAGAGTCGCGCAGGAAGTTCCATCTCCTTTCGCGCGACGAGGACACGATGATCACCTCAGCTCAAGCCCTGGCAGCGGGCCTTGCAGCGGCAGCAAGGGACCTGGTGGTGGTCTTCACTGGTGCCATGTGGCTGTGGCGAAGAAACGGCAAGGGAGGAGGTCAAGGGAGCAGGTCACTAAAACCCGGGGAAATCACCTCTTTTGGTAAGACCTTTCCTGGTTCATTGAAATCATCCCGGCGGAACTCCCTTTAACGTGAAGACCGTTCTTTCTCAAAAAAGACCCAACCCGCTGAAGTTTATGGAATGTTTGGATACAGGATCCAGCCACGAGGTTGTTTTTCAGTCAGACAACGGGAAGTGAGTGAAAGAAGTGTGTCAATCAAGAAGAGTGAAAACAGGACTTCAGGTGACCATCTCCAGGCAATCTGGTTCTGGCCACGGCATGGGCCATGGGCTTTGTATCAACGTTTCAGGAAACACTGCCACCACCCTAGGGTCCTTGGTCCTCGGCCTTGCCCCAACAGCGATGACAGAAAGAAATAGCTACCACCAGTGATCCACCAGGATGGGACTTTTGGTCAGTCACTTTTTGAGAAAGCCCAACCTCTGAGTGATGTGGGCAAGACCAAGCATCGAAAGCTATACCCACAAGTGCCATCCACGTAACCATTACCCAGACACTCCATGTGTGTCATAGGACTGCCGATCAGGCCAGGGGTGGTTTTGGGGTCAATTGATCGGCAGTCCTATGGCAGTCCCATGTGTCGTGTCTGGGTTCCAGGGTCTTCGTCGCCTTCACCGCGACTTCCAGGGTCGAATTGTGGGAGTGGCCATCGCTGAACAGCTGTGGACCGAGGAAAAGCCCATGTTGGGGGTCCCCCACGACACATGTAAACAGCTGGAACAAGGTGGAATCAGTGATCTCGTGATCCCTCTTTTTTTTTGTGCGGCTGGTTTCTTCAGGTGGAATACGGCTATAAGTTACAGTACAAAGTTTTGCAAACTATAGCGCTAGTCTTATGCTATCAACTATTTATAAGCCTTTATGGTCCAGTGGACCAACGGCGCGTTCCGAGGCTTCCGGAGGAGTTCCGCCGCAGCGACGCCGACTTCAACCTGGGCTTCGCGACGTGCGCGGCGCAGACGGCGCCTAGGGGGGTCTACGTGGCGATGGGTGGACGACTCTTCCAACACGACCAGGCTGGGGAAAACGACTTGTACCAGGGACTGGGAGTTGAAGAAAGAAAAGACAGCAGCAACACAGCAGCAGAACAAAGGGTTTTGTGGAAATTTAGAGGGTAAAACCATGGTACAAGCATGCAAGAGCCTTTTGGGTGCAAGGATTTCATCCAATGAATCAAGAGTAGGGGCCTCTGGATGGTGGAGGGGTGAGATTCGCCTCTCTCCTGCCGCAGTTAACTTGTGGCGTGTTTCATGCACTGAGATGAGGTCTCACCAGCCGTGCAGTAGCAACTGAGTGGCCAGGAAGGTCCTCAAGCAACTACTGAACCACCTCGCAGCTTCTGGGGTTCGATATAGTTGGAAGGTCCTTTGCTGGTCGTATTAGTTGGGTTTTTGGTATACAACCTCTCTGAGCAAAAGCTCATCGATTCACATTCCGACCCGTCCATCGATTCACGGTCTGCGGTTGGATCGCGCACGCGATCGAGAACGCGCACAGAGGTGAGTCGCGATGAAGAGGGACGCTTCGTGGGAAGCTCCTGATTGACTCACGAGCTGAACATCTCACCCAAGTGCTGCCTTGCGCTGAAGGAAGAGAAGGGGCATGAGTTTGCAGAAGTGAGACAAGGAGAAGTGGAGCACCGGGTTGAAGTGCCTTTCTTTTGCATATTGCATATATATATATTTCTATTATATATAATCACACAAAAATACATACACATACATACCCGTTCTTGTTCCCATATTCCTGATGAGCGAAGTATGAGGTGACATGATGGTTCTGATGTGTAACCCCTTCCACATAAAAAAGCACGGCCCTCCTGTATGAGGGAATAGTATGTCCTATGTGTCGAATACGTCGTGTTCCACGTGCAAGTTGCCAGTTGGCGAGAAGTTTTTGATGTTATTAAATTGTTAATAACGTGTAATTCTATTACTGTTTTAGATAGTTGTAATTACGGCTTTTCCGCAACAGTTAATTCTATCAGTTTCAATTATTAATCGGTCTAATTTCTGTTTTACTTTCCATTTTTTCTATGTGTGGAATTCTCCACTGAGTCGACGTTTCCCCTTTGAGCGGGCGTTTTCCCCCGAGCGAGCATTTCCCCAGAGCGGGCGTTCCCCCCCGAGCGGGCGCTTTCCACCAGAGCGGGCGTTTTGGCCAGAGGCAAGTATGTCGTATGTATTTTCGGAATAAAACATAATGACATGAATTCCTCTATGTCAAAGAAATGTAATGTTTAGTAATGTAGTAATTACAGTAGTAGTTTATGTCGTTCTTGTCTTTTCGCGGAAAACAAAAAGTTATCAGTTTTGCACAGAACTCCCACAGATAGGGTATAGTCGACCTAGGCCCTATCAGCGGGCCACAGCGGGCCTTCGCTACCCTAGCCACAGGCCTACACTAGGCCTATATGTAGCCTCCTAGGCCTATGCCTAGCCTAGTCATAGGCCTATCCTAGGCCTATCCCTACCCACGAAATATGCGTTTGGCCTACTACGACAGATTTTGCAAGGTCCTCAGGCACCGCTCACAGATAAAATTGCGCGCACTTGCCAAACAGAATCCTTCTTCACGGGACCCCTTCAAACAGAATCCTTGTTCGAGGGATCCCGTCAAACAGACTCCTTGCTAGAAGGGGCCCCGTCAAACAGAATCCTTGTCAAAGCGACCCCGTCAAACAGAATCCTTGTTACAGGCGCCCCATCAAACAGAATCCTTGTTGAAGGGGCCATCAAAAAAGAATCCTTGTTGAAGGGACCCCCTCAAACAGGTTAGAGGCGCAGGTCAAACAGAATCCTTGTCGAAGGGACCCCGTCAAACAGAATCCTTGTGCGCCGTCAAACAGAATCCTTGTTAAAGGGGCCCCGTCAAACCCGGGTCTAGGATAGGCTTATGGGCAGGAGAGGCTTGTGGACAAGGTAGCCTGTAGGCTAGGCCACCAAATATCATTATGAATTTTACAAATTGGTTGTTGTTATTTTTTTGCTTTTGGCGGAACTAGTAAAGCTAACATAATTAGCAATTTCGGCTGTAAGAATGATTGTTTAGTTAATTTTTAATTGTTTGAAATTCCAGGTGTTCCGGACCAGTTGACTATTGATTCCGAAATGTGGGAAACGTGGCCAGCCAGGATTCAGTTTGTGGAAGTTGACAACAAAAAAGGAATTGCCCCGCAAGATTGATGGCACAAGGCTGACAGTGGCGAAGATCTTGCACAATCTGTTGGCAGCAGATCACCTCGAGCGGCTGTTCAACAATCTTTGTTCTGGCGTCGGTCTGGATGACGCGACAACGCTAATCCTACCGTCGGGGAGCGCCAGCAACGAAACGTTGCCGAATCCCAGCAGCTGCGTCGAAGCGCTCTGCAGCTCAAGCTGCAGGTCATCAACCAGGCAAAACTGCTTGTGCTCGGTGGTGCCCTTTACAGCCCCACCGCAAGGCAGATCACCACTTGTCATGTTCTGGCGCTCCACTGGGGGCAGCCACTGTGGACCACGGCAGCCTGGAAATCAGGAGTGGAGCAGCAACATACCGATCAAACAAATCGGCAGAAAAGCTCCCCGCTTGCTGCGCAAAGGCTGGAGGAACAGGCCACCATTGCCATGTCAAAGGGCCAGGCCAGACCAGCAAAGAAACCTGCAACGCGGCAAACTCCTTTCACCCTGCAGCGAAGCAGGAGTACAAAGAACATGGGTTTCTAAGAGACAGAGGCTTGGTAGTTAGGCTAGCAGATGTGTTTGCAGATGCAGAAAAAGTTGTCTGGTCGCCCATTGTTGGAGCAGACATGCCGTTATTCAAGTCTTGGGCCCGTTGAATAGAACGGTGCGATTGAGCCTTTTTGTATCTATCTTTTCTGTTGTTCTTTATTTGGATCGTGACAGGTGACAGTGGTCTATGGTTGTTGCTGAACCGAGAGGTTTTGGCTGTGAAGTCTGACAGCTCAGCGCAATCATTGTTCTGGTTTCCATTTTGACGAGAGCCGCTTGGCAAAAACGGTCCGACCCTTGTCCGGATTGTGTCTTACTGCAGCGGTTGCTGGCGGGTGCAATTAACTTAAATCTTTAACCGGACGAGGAGGAGCTGTCTTACACATCGGATACCTAGCTTGCAGGTACAGCATAAGCGTGATATCCATCAGTGAAATCACTAGCAAATACTGAGCCATTGGAAGCCATGTCAATGGTGGGTAAGCAGGTCCCGTACTGGAGCCCGACGGGACATTATCAGCGTTGTCAGTTGGCCATACGCTTCTTGGCTCAACATGTAGTGCTGTATCCACCCTAGAAAGAAAAGACTACATAGGACGTAGTCAATGAGGCTTTCTTGTCGCACGGCTTTGCAGAATGGAAGCAAGAGCTGGCCTGCATCTCACCCATAAATTTTTCAGCGGCTTGGCCAAGCATCTCTAGCCGACGACATGGTTTCCCCATGGGAGTGAGTTTGCATCCTCCAAAGCGCCTGCCGGCTGCCAATTTTGTAGGGATGAACTGGCCCAATGTCCTTTTGCGCATTCTTTCATAAGACTCCATACTGAAGCGGGCCCATAGCGGAGTCGCAAGGAGCATCTCGACGTGCTTTTGGTCTTCTAACGAGGATCGGCCTTTCCTTTGATGGTCGACATCGCAATCAAACAACGCAACATTAGTAGCCATACACAGCAGTGCTAGAATCCAACACCTACTATCCGCACTGCATGTAACCGATGATTTCAGCTGCGTGGAAGTGGTTTCAGAAGTCATGTAGCCACTACCCAGATGGAAATAGCGTTGCCAAGCTCCTCCGACTACCTACCCGCAAGCTGCGTGCGATTCCATGTCAGCAGCGAAAATAAAGAGTTTCACGTAGGTCATTGCATGACAGGGCGGGCATGCAACTTGTGAAACAGCCCTCATCGACTCATAAAGTGCAATACTCCCAGCCACCCCCCCAAAAAGAAACTCCGGCGTCGTTTTTGTTAATAGGGGGTCCCAAAATAGGGGGACCAGTGCAGATGGAAACCTGAACTGAGAAATCGCCTGAGGAAGTTCTATTCAAACCGCTATTAAAGCCGTATCAAAACTTGAAAAAACCTGCAGGTCGATGGGGTTTCTTTGTCACCTTTTAAACGTATCTTCCATTAAAGTTAAAATAGTGATTCCTCGATGTTATCCGCTGGCAAATATTTAAGACAGCCGGCCAGGGGCGTTGAGGTAGGGGGCTGGAGGGTGGAAGATTGGGTGCGGGTGCAGGCTGAGGGAGTGGCTGTAGCGATGTTGGGCGGGCTTGGGGCTATGTTGCGCACAGCTGGGGCCTAGCTTAGGCCATCTGGAGCCTTTGTTGCGCGGTGTTGGGGCTATGTTGAGCATAGCTTGCGTCTAGCTTGGGCCATCTTGGGCCCATGTTGGCTCAGCTTGAGTCCATCCAGCTTGGGCCCATGCTGGCCCATCTTGGCCCCATGTTGGCCCATCTTGGACCCATGTTGGCCCCAGCTGGGCCCACGCTGGCCTATCTTGGCCCCATGTTGGCCCATCTTGGACCCATGTTGGCCCCTTCTTGGGGCGGGCTTGGGGCTATGTTGCGCACAGCTTGGGTCTAGCTTAGGCCATCTGGAGCCTTTGTTGCGCGGTCTTGGGGCTATGTTGAGCATAGCTTGCGTCTAGCACCTTTCCACAATCTAATTCTACCACCAAAAACGCGCCGGGGACGTAGCTAGGGCCCCCTGGCACCCCCTGGCCCCCCTGGGTCGGCGGCAGGGGGTGGAGCCCCTCTCTCCTTCGGAGAGGAGAGAACCCTGCGGGATGCCACGGCCCTGGGCTTGCGCCCCTGGCCGGATTTCATCAGACTAGCAGAGATTTCCAAAGGTGATGTCGCTGAGCGCAGCCTCGGTGGAAAGTGCGTTTGCGTGGCTCTGTGCCATTGGGGAAGGGTGCGCATGCGTGTGTACATTCGCGTGGCGCTAGTCAGGGGCAGGTGGTGATTCTAGCGGGCAGGTACCTAGTTAAGAAAAGAACTGCAGATAAAGCTATGTTTGTAGTTTAGTAGTAGATTGAGAAGGCGGTAGCTTAAAACAAATATAAACTGCAGTTAGGGGTCTCCGACATGAGTTTACCTTTTCTTTTCAATTCGCGTAGGGTTCTTAACTCAAGCTTAATATGTTGGATTTATATAATATGTAGCTTCAAAAGTGCCATGCCACAAAGCGCATAGGGTGTTCATTCATACAATGTCAACGCCATGGGAATGTTTCTAGTACTTTAACATGCTTTAAGCGACATCCATTTTTGATTGATTTTTTGTTTCTGAATTGTTTCTAATTGATCGTTTGTTACAACTTTTACGACTGAATCTCTAGTCCCCACTCGAAGAGTGATATCGACCATGGGTTTGGCAACCAAATTTAGATGTTCACCACATCATGGGATCCAGCCTTTAGCGGACCTTTTTGACCGTTGGATGCTCCCAATCAACACGTTCCCATGGGTCTTCTTTCATCGTTGAGCAGGACTGGTGGCACGCACCTAGGGCAGGGCTTCTACAGCCGAGACGCCGAGACAACTTTTCGTCGGACAGCCGGACTGGTGCATCTGAGCCGGCCAGTGAGAGCGTCCGAAAGCGTCTGTCCAAGGGTTGGGTGAAGTCGCTGCGATCCTCGTTGAAGCGGGTCGTTTGAAGGGTGGGTCGTTCTGGGTCGATCAAGTCGCAGAGGTGTTCGAAGGCTCTGAGTCTCTGACGAACGCATCACATGGGAGGTGCAAAGCTTGCCCTGGTTGGTAGAGCCAAATGGTCTTCCAGGCCTAATCCTCCAAAACGAAATGATTTTGCTGGTCTTGTATCCTTGTTCACCCGGAGTTCCAAAAAGGTTGCTTAGTAATGGGGAGTGTACATAGGGGTCCTCGTTTTTCGGTCACTTTCGTCTCAAAACCGCACCTCGGCAAGCACCTCCTTGCACCGTGAAAACCCCGTGCGCACCCGGTGCGACGGCATTCGACAGAGGCTGATCCCCACCATTGAAGCGATCAAGGCGAAGAAGGAACCCGACTGAACGGAAACTCGAGGGGGTTGGGCTATGTCAAGCTGCCTTCTGGCTGATTCTGTGCTCACCAGCTGCCAAGACAGCTTGGTGGATCACGGAACGTGTTGGAATTGATCCTTCACTTGCAGAGAAAACGCACCCACTTGCACTACAGAGTGTCAAAGGACAATCACCTAGTGAACTGGAGATTGAGATCACCAAGGCTCTAATCCTAATTGCATCCAGAAGTTTTCAAAAGACCCGGGTGATGACATGGATTTGGTGAACCACCGGGTCGTGGAGGAAAATCACCTCGAGTCCTTTGTTCAAGGTCCATGTTCGTTTGCGCGGGTATAATGCATCAAAGAAATTGCAGGAGTTCCTGCGGATTTCTTGCGCGGTCCCCTCAGTTTTTGGGCGAAGTGCCCTCAGTTGCCAGGACATTGCTCTAGCCAACAAGGCACAGCGCGGGCGATGAAACACCTCGGTGGGAAGGGGTGAAGAAAAACCCTGCCACCACCACCTGATCAGCTAGATGATTCTTTTTTCTCTATGGTTGGCGTGGTAGGTGAAGAATTCCCCTTATTTCTTCTTCTTCTTCTTCTTCACCGAGATGTGTGTTCCATTCCTAGTTGTTTCTGTGAAGACAACTGTTTCCTCAAATCACTAAGAAATAACTTTTCCTGGTTCGATCACTTGGGTGTGCTAACCAATAGTCATTTGCTCCAAGAGAACAAGGCTGAGCCAAGTAGACGAAACGTTTCGGGCGGCAACCATGTTCTGGATTGAACTCATCCATGGGCTTGCCTCCCACCCAAGAATCCAAAGACATACGTCTCATGTTCAGCAAACAGTTCGATTTTCGGAGTGCCTAGGAGCAAGGACGCTACTAGTAGCTCCTGACCTTCCTGCTAGCAACAAGAAGCTACTAGTAGCTCCTGGCATCGCTACTAGGAGCAAGACACTACTAGTTGGGTGATTCTGGACTCCACAAAGTGATTGCTGTGAGATCCCGACCTTGGCTTTCTGCCAATGGTGTCCTGCTTCCATCCCGATTGAGCCTCAGCCAGTCTCACTCCGTGCACTTGTCTTTCGCAGTCAGATGGAGGTCGCCACACTGAATCTTTCCATCATCCAATAAGGTCCTACGGGAGATTCGCCCCCAGCACTGATGGAAAGAAGACCAGTCAGAGTTTTTCCCATGATCCACCTTCTGAATCTTTCGGATTTTTCTTAAACAATCTTCCCTTGACCCCAACTTGATGCTTCCACCAAATCTCCATCTTCCAGTCCATCTTCCTCCACTCTTCCCCTTGGCCCCATCCCCTTACCGACACGGCTTGGTTTTAGGAGACCATCATCGCCGGGGGTCCGGTGATCGCGCCGCTCATCGAGGAGTACGGCGTGAGCATGTTGCGCCCCGGCGGGTGGATGTTGGTCCGGATGGTTGGACGGTTGGACCGGGGGGTCGGGAAGCGTTGGACCAGTGTGCGGTGTGTGAACTGTGCGGTGCAAAGACATGGTGAAGAGCGGAGGTGCTTTTTTTTGGGGGGAGGGAAGCAGGTGGTGAGGTGAATTCTGAATGGATCACTGAACATCTACTAGGCAGTTTTTGGAGTGTCCCGAAAGGAAAGCGAAGTAAAGCAGTAAAGTCCTTTGGAGATATCATCCAACTTGTGAGGCCTATCAAGTAGGGTTTCAATATATTTCAATTCTTTTTTCTTTGTATAGCTCTTAGACTCTTAGACCCGGCTCCGGCCGCAAAACATGCTTGGAACATGGGTGTTTGAAACACCCCCTGACACGCCCGTGGCAACCCGCCACGTCTTCTATTTGTTGACCATCTATGCCTATGCACCTCCCTTTTTGGGAGTTGCTATCGTGGAGCGTTGAAAAGCTCACTGGTTTTGCCCTCTGACCGGTTGAATGTGCTTCTTTAGAAACTTAGGGCGAACCGTCTGTTTTCCGTAATGTTCCTCTCAAAGTCCCCTTGCCGGATGTCCCGGACGCGGTGGGCCTGCCATAAGTGCCGGCAGGGCTCCACTGGCGCGGAGGATAGCTGGTGCACCGCGTGCTGTGCTCAGGAGCACATCCTTGAGGAGTTGCGCTCGAGGTGGGGGTGCGAGGAACTCCGCCGAGCGGCTTCTGACGCGCTGGTGGATAGTGCCCGTCAGATTAAGCAGCTGAGGGCTTTGTCGTTGAGGTTGTGCAGAGTGTCCTCGAACCCCCTCCGGTTGGTGACTCACGCGCGGTTGGTGCACAGCCTAAGGGGTTGCCTAAGCCCCCTCCTCCGCCGCCGGAGCCTGTTGTTGAGAAGACAGAGGAAGAAGAAGAAGGTGAGGATTCCTACACCTACGAGTACGCGGAAAGTGAAGAAGAGGAGGTAGTTGAAGAGAGGACGCAGCTTGAGCCCCAGCCTTCACAAGAAGTCCAGGTTGAAAAGAAGCGGAAGAAGGAAACGAGTGAGGTTCGCACGACACCGAAGGCAGGTGAAAGGACTTCAGGCAGGAGTTCGAAGGAGAAGAAGCAGCCGAGGAGAGAGCGAGATCGAGATCGACATCGTGGCAGAAGAGGAGGCAGAAAGCACCAGCAGGTGAGGAGAAAGAAGTCTGATCCGAGTATCAGAACCCACAAGAAAAGGTCCATCGCAGAGCTGAAGAGATTCAGCAGCCTTCCGACGCCCCCGCCATGTCCGCGTTGAGTGAACTCATTGAAGGATGGCAAGAAGGCGACGTGTTGAGGATGAGCGATGTGTTGAATTGGAGTCTTGTGAACTTGGTGCGAGGAGACTTCATGGAGGTGGACTTGAGCGCTACAGACATGATGCCGAGGACAGAGGCAGTTGCAGGTTTCTTGGTCTTAGAGCGTGTGTTGACAGGAGACGGAGGAATGGCAGTGCGTGTAAGATCCGTTGGGTGCAGCGATGCTGGACTCAACAAGGTTCTTTCAGGGAGGTTCAACAGGAAAGAGGGTTTTCTTCACCTGTGTATCAGCACTCCCTGTACAGAGGCCGAAGAGAACTACCTACATGTCACGCAGTTCAGGGCCTTCTCCCATCAGGCTTTCTCCCCTGGCTACTACATGCCATCTCATCGTCGTCAGGTGGCCAAGTGGTTGGGGAGACAAGATATGGAGGAGCTGGAAGAGGAGCCTGGCAGGGATGTAGGGCAGGATCTGTTCGGAACCGGAGGACCGACGGTTGTCGAAATACCGGCCACGTCGGCAGAAGGAGAAGCCCGAGGCGCACCTATGAGGAAGGAGCCTTTGAAACCCGGAGGAGGAGACAGTCGAAAGGGAGTGGAGGACCGTGCCAAAGAACGCGTGCCGCGGACTCCCGCGCTGCGTCAAAGGCCGTCGGCGTCCGCTCGTGTCAGAGGAAAAGGTCAGGCAGATGGCATGAAGTTGAAGGAGCGTTCAACAAGTTTGAGTGGAGGAAAGAAGAAGGCGCCCGAGGAGCATCAAGAAGGAGAAGAGGAGCACCTTGGGACAGCGTTGGAGAGAGAGGGCATGAGCACAGAGGAGTTGAGGCGCAAGTTGGATCTAGTGCGTGTCCGCTTGGGAGGAGCTCGGCGACCCGAGGTTGGAGCAGGCGAGAGGCGAGACCTGTTGGACGAGAGAGAGGATCCAGACTGGCAGAGAGAGGACGATTCAGGCTTTGTGGAGGATTTGAAGGGTTTGACGAGTGGAGCGACATTGAAGAGGAAGAGGTTGCAGGAGGATACAAAAGGTTCTTCTTCGAGAGATGTCTCGACCCAGTTGATACAGAGGGCGCAGCTCAGGTCAGGAGAGAGGAGAAGAGAAGGAAGCAGTCGTGGGAGCCAGACAATGAGTGGAGAGAGACCAGGCGAGAGAGACCGGCTTCTAGCTCTCTTGAACCAAGTGGAAGGGAGAAAGACAAGTCTGGCATCAGATGGGAAAGACCCCCCAAGAAAAGGAGACAGGAGCAGGTCGAAGGGGAGCAGAAAGAAAAAGAAGGGGAGAGACAAAAAGAAGAAGAAAAAGAAGCGGAGGCTAGTCAACGGGGTCATAGTCAGCTCAGAGGAGTCGGAGTCGAGCGAGGAGGAGAGTTACAGTTCCCCGGAGTCGAGCGAAGAGCATTTCGAAGCTCCGTTGAGAAAAAGATCACGTGCCAGCCCGGGCTCGGTGCTACGCCTGCTTGTTCAGAAGGCAGAGGCTGCGTTGGACCAGTCGGCATTGGTCGAGATCGATCCGAAGGCATCGAGGTCAGTGACGGATGGAGTCAAGATAAGCACTTACTTCAACCTGCACATCCGACCTCACTTCAGCCAACAACGCGGAGCTATGAGAGACCGTTGGTTAATGGCCCAGGTGATCGACTTGCTTCGTGCCGGGGAAATAGCTCGCTCGGCAGACATGTTGTCGGGCCACTTCCTTGCAGCCCATCAAGCCCTAGTGGATCAATCCTGGTCACAGGCCAAATATCTCGAGGTGGCAATGCCCGAGGAACAGTCGGCGACAACGCCGGCCATTTTGCTCGAGGCGCGAAAGCATGCCAAAGCCACCTTCAAAGCAGAGGCTCCGGACGCTTGGGTGCCCAGCAAAGGTTGGCAGCGCAGTTGGTTCGGAGGAGGCGAAGGAGGTTGGCAGCCGGACAAAGGAAAAGGAAAAACCAAGAAAGGGGGCAAAGGAAAAGAAAAGTCAGGTTGGGCAGATCGAGAAGGAAAGGGCAAGGCAAAGTGGAAGGAGACTCATGCCCAGGCAGAGGACGAGAAGAAGTGAGAGGACTGGCAGCGGCGATAAGACCTGAGGAGGATGAGTTGGGCACGTTGCGCCAATTTGAAGGTGTGATGGAAGAGAAGTCAGAGTTGCTGGTGAGGAGTCAGCCTTTCGGAGGCATTTTGAAGGAGGGCGCCTCACGGGCGCCGTTGGCTTGGAGTGAGCTTGAATTCAATACAGGACAAGACATTTGTTTGACCGTGGGGCGCAGTGTTCGTGATTTGAAGAATGCTGGAACCCTGCTTGCTTGGATGCTTTGCCATTGCATGAGAGTTGATTGCCGTGGCGCCTGGCGCTGGCTATGCAGCGTGATTTTTGAGAAGAGGTTGACCGCAGCCGGTTGCGAAGGGCCAAAACGCGCCGCTTCGTTCCCGATGAGAGTTGGAGATTTGAGGAATTTGTTGGAGGCCTTGAGTTGTTCCAGCTTGGTTGAAGTTGCTGGAGAGGAATTTTCCACCCGCTGGGCTGAAGATGCCTGGGTGTTCCTTGCGCTCAACGCCACGAGCTGTCTGGCGGGTCATGTGAGGCCTTTGAGCGCCGGAGCGTGGTCAGCGCTGGAGAGAAGAGGTGCTGAGACCGCCAGAACCTTTGTACGGAGAGTTCTCACCTGTACGTGTGGTACCCTTCCACCGTTTGAAAAGACTGCGGAAGAACTGAGGGCTGCCAGGGTGGATTATTGTGGTGAAGAAACCGGGGTCTGTGAGCCCCTCACGCTTGACCAGATTACCCCTGCACTTCCCCCTTGTGGTCATGGAGGGTCGATCAAACTTGTTGATTTGGTGTCAGATGCCACTCGAGAGATTTTGGAGCACCCTGAGGACCTGTTGTTGCCTTCTTTTCCTATCCCCAGACCTAAGGTTCCGGGGACTACCCATTTTGGGAAAGGAGAAAAACTAGGTGTTTGCGAGGCCCTTGTTGAGAGAGGAATTTGTGAATGGGTTGAGTCGTCGTGCATTGTTGAAATTGAAGGTACTAGGGTTCTCAACGGACTGTTTGGGGTCAAGAAGCCCGCATGTTTGGAGGATGGAAGACCGACCCTTAGGGTCATTATGAACCTGAAGGCAACTAACTCAGTCATGACACAAATTAGGGGTGCCGTTGAAGGGCTGCCTGCGATCACTGCGTGGCAGGCGGCCTTGCTTGAAGGTCAGGAGGGATTCCACTTTTACCAATCGGACATCTCTTCTGCATTTTATTTGTTTGAGTTGCCACGTGCTTGGTTGCCTTTCCTGGGTTTCAATGTTGAGTGCTTGGGAGAACATATTAACAAAGAAAAGGGTATTAAGTACACCTTAGCCTGCCGAGTACTTCCCATGGGAATGCATAGTTCGGTTTCACTCATGCAAGAAGTGTCTGAGACCATCTTGTGGCGAGAAGGCCTTCAGAGACAGGGTCAGATTCGCAGGGGGCAACCAGTTCCGGCAGCTTTGATACAAGCGGCAAGACAGAGTCTGGCGGAAGATCGTTGCTTCTGGCAGGTGTATTTGGACAACTTCATGGGGGGTGAGAAACGTGCGTGTGGGTCCAATTCACATGGAGGAGATCAGGTGCATGAAGTCTGTGAACAGACTTGGAAGAAGCATGGAATCTTGTCCTCCGAAAAGAAGCGAGTCAGCAACAGCCAGGAGACTGAGGAATTGGGGGCGCTCTTGCAAGGAAAAGTTGGGATGATCGGAGCATCCCCGCAGCGGTTTTGCAAGTTGATTCAAGCCACACTTTGGGTCATTGCTCAGAAGCCAGTCACCAAGAAGATGGTGCAGGTGTTAGCAGGGCGATGGATCCACATCTTGCAGTTTCGTAGACCAGGGATGAGCTTTCTTGACAAAGTTTGGTCGTTCATTAATAAGATTGATGACCAAGAGAAGTTGTCTCTTCTGATGAAGAGGGAATTTTTCTTGATCATGGGGGCTATCCCTTTGCTGCACACGTTTTTTGGGGCGGAAGTGTCAGACACCATATGGTGCAGTGATGCATCAGAGAGAGGAGGAGCTGTAGGCTTCAGCAGAGAGTTGTCCAGTCAGGGGAAGGATTTCGTCATGTCCAGTCAGATCTCTGGTAAGACTTTGGGTACTGCACCTATTCTAGTTGTTGGACTTTTTAGCGGCATAGGAGGTACGTTCAGAATTTATGACTTGCTGGACATCTTACCTCAGGGTATGGTCGCTGTGGACATTCATGCCCCTGCCAATCGCATTGTCAGCAGAAGATGGCCAGCTGCACAAATTCTTCGTGATGTGAGGGCAATTTCCAGGGACATTGTGTCAGGTTGGGCAAAAGACTTTCACACGATCGAAGAGGTTCACCTTTGGGGAGGTTTCCCTTGTAGGGACCTTAGTTCCGCGAGAGCATATCGGAGGAATTTGGAAGGAGATGAAAGTTCATTGTTCTTTGAATTCCTTAGAATCTGGCAGCTCCTTGTTGAGTGCTTCCCTTCAAGAGTAACAGTCAAAGTAGCTGCCGAAAACGTTGCATCAATGGATGAGACGGCCGCTCAAGAGATCTCCGGTTACATGGGCTTGGAACCATACTACCTAGACCCGGTTGAAGCCGCGCCACTTCGACGACCCCGCCTGTGTTGGACAAGTGAGGACATCGCAGGTTCCCTCGACGGTGTTCAAGTTGTCCCCGATAGAAGGTGGAAGAAGGTCATTGCGGTGGCACCTTACCCCCACGTTGAACAGTGGATTTCGGGAGGTTTTTCGTGGCCTGGTGAAGAGGTTGCTAGAGCTTTCCCCACTTGTATGAGAGCGGTTTGGAAGGACAAACCCCCTGTACTTCCGGCGGGAATTCACCGTGCTGACGGGGATTGCCGTGCTAGATGGGCACTGTCAGGGTATATTTATCCTCCCTACCAGTTTCGTTCAGAGTTCTTGCTGTGGAGGGGGACAAGTGGCGTTTAACAAATAGCCAAGAGAGGTCATTGTTGATGGGCTACGGCTACCAGCATTGTGACCTCGCTTGGAGTGCTAGTAAGATTAAGAGCGACCCGTTGGGCTACGAACGTGAAAAATGCTCCTTGTTAGGAGATGCCTTTAGCATGTACTCGTTTGTTGTTGTTGGAGCTGCGCTTTGTCGCAATAGACTTCCTCGGGTGCATTTTCATCACCTAGCACAACGGATGGGTTTGGCCCCCGGGTTCAGAGCAAATCTTCGACTTCGTGCTCCCCTTGCATTGAATTTGCAGTACGGTTGTCAGCAGGTTGCAGAAACACAAGAAAACATTCGGGTCAGAGATCTTAACCTGATGCTCCTGGCCCGCACCAATTTCACAGGAAGTGATGTCAGGGTAGTCACTGGACAGATAGTTAACCCCAAGGCCTTTCCGAGGCAGTCCATACAGGCCGCATGGTGGAAGTGGAATCACAGCTTTCGTGTGCGCTGGCCCAAGCCTCAACACATTAATCAGTTGGAGCTCAAGGCAATCCTCATTAGCGTGTTGCGCGGAATTCGATCCGAACGTTGGTCGCAGCAACGTGTTTTCCACCTGAGTGATTCATATGTGTCCATCAGTGTTGTTGCCAAAGGTCGTTCTAGTAGTGCAATGTTGAACAGGCTCCTTAAGATCCTCAATGCTCACCTTCTCCTTCATGGCATCTTTCTCATCTTAGCCCACGTTGAGAGCACCGAGAACCCCACCGATGGCGAGCGTAGGCGTTAAGGTTTTTCATCGCAAAACACGGCAAGAAAGAAAGAGCTCGCGAGAAGGCATATCTCTCAGAGACGCTGCCGTGACCGTGAAAACCCGACTTGCTTACTTCATTGCTTTGAAGTTGTTGATGCCCTATATAGAGGAGGTGAAAAATGAAAGTGAACTTGACGCAGCCTGCGCTCATTGGGTTGAAACTGCGTGGGAGGATGGCGAATCTTTGTATACTGTTGGCAACGCCTTGTCAGGGCTACACTTTTTTGAACCATACACTGAGCGAAAAATACCCTCGGCATGGAAGCTGTTCGCCACTTGGCGAAAGTTGGAGTGGCCGGCCCGAGCACCTCCCATCACCAGGGAGATCATTCTTAGTCTTGCACACTATGCCATTTCTCATGATGATTTATTCTTTGGGTGCTTGCTCTGCTTAGGGTTTTTCGCTTTACTTCGCACGGGCGAACTTCTTGGTCTTAAAGGCTCTGACCTCTTGGTCAACAAAAAGCAGGTTGTTGTGTCTCTGAAATCTACCAAGACAGGCAAAAGGAACGCGGCTGATGAAATGGTCACAACTTCAGATCCTTTCACCATTCTCCTGTGTGAAACAGTGCGCGATGTGCTTGCCGCCAGAGGCGCGTTGTCCCAACCTTTGTGGTCCTTTTCAGGACAGGCATTTCGATCTCACTTCGATGCCTACTTGAGAAGATTCAAGATCCAAGAGTTGGGCTTTCGCCCATACTCTATGCGGCGCGGTGGCGCCACCTGGATCCTGCAGTCCACAGGTTCTATGGAACTGGCCCTTTTAAAGGGTCGTTGGGGCAGTCACAGGGTTGCTCGAATCTATATTGCCGACGGACTCTCCAAGCTCCCGGATCTTCTGTTGCCAGATGCCACTAAAGTCTTGCTTTCAGCATGGGACCCTCGTCGCTTGCACGCCGCAGAGGGGGTCCGTGGAAGAAGGAACAGGAACAGCTGATCTTGTTGGTGGTTAGACCTTTGTTTTGGAACCTCTGCATGGAGGTCGTAGCAGTTTCAAAACTCAAAAAAGCTCTACCGGCACCTGCATGGGTGCGACGGTCCACCTGCATGGGTGGAGCATGAGCACAAAGAGTTCAAAGGCCCCAGAGCGGCCCAGCCTTTAAGAGGCTCAGGTATGCCAAACAAGGTCTACCTGTTACGAGGTTGCTGAACGCCTTCACCGGTTGCGGAAAATAAAGCATGTGAGCCCTTGTGCTTCTTTAGAAACTTAGGGCGAACCGTCTGTTTTCCGTAATGTTCCTCTCAAAGTCCCCTTGCCGGCCACGCCTCTCCCGCCCTTGCGCTTTGCGCTGGCAATGGGACTTGGCTCCGGAAGAAGGAACAGGAACAGCTGATCTTGTTGGTGGTTAGACCTTTGTTTTGGAACCTCTGCATGGAGGTCGTAGCAGTTTCAAAACTCAAAAAAGCTCTACCGGCACCTGCATGGGTGCGACGGTCCACCTGCATGGGTGGAGCATGAGCGCAAAGAGTTCAAAGGCCCCAGAGCGGCCCAGCCTTTAAGAGGCTCAGGTATGCCAAACAAGGTCTACCTGTTACGAGGTTGCTGAACGCCTTCACCGGTTGCGGAAAATAAAGCATGTGAGCCCTAAACATAGATCTATATAATTATTACACCTTCCAGCGGTCGCCTCTCAGACGCGTCAGACTTTGGGAGTGATTTCTGACCCATTAATCCAGTCAAGTGCAGGACTCTTCCTTCCCTTTTGCTTCCTCTTTGGCCCAAACAGCCCTTCCTTCAGTGTGGCTGGCTTTTTCCGGTCCCCTCCTCGGCGAGATGCTAGAGAGATGGGTAGAAAAGAAGACCTTGAAGAGGATCCCGGCAGCTGGCCCCGGTGTGCCCCTGGTGTTAAATGGCTCGTAGTTGGGTCTGACAGGGAAGAAGGCTCCAATGTAGACTCTGGTGAGATTTCAGGAGATGTCCACCCGTTTTGCCTGATATCCAGCATGGTTTCTTTCCACTGCATCAAGCTCTACACCCTGGGAATACACATCCACCATATCTTCCAGAAGAATCTTCACTCTCCACCATATTCCACATATATTATATATATATGCATAATAATTGATCCGGGGAATGTACACATCTTCACCCTCCAACGGGTTATCCGTTTGGACCGGAACTCCGTTCGGTTCGTCCGGAACTCGTCCAACCCGTTCGGTTCGTCCCACCACGGCTCGCTGCCTCGGTGTCCAGGCCGGTGGATTCGGAGCACTCGGCCATCTTCCAGTGCATGTGGGGGTACGAAGCGAGGGGTACGAAGCCATGGATGGAGCGGATGGAGGTCGAAGTAGATGGGAAGTAGATGGGTCGATATACACATATATAAAATTACACACACACACACTACAGTAGTATATCTATGCGTTAGTTAGCCTTCCAATCGACTGTTTTCTTACCTTTTTGTTTCTGAACGCGCACACACACACAAGTCGAGGTGTCAGAATTCAAGGATTTCTACTTGAGTCATCAGATCCAAAGAACAAGAACAAGTCAGATCAGGGACATGTGACATATTGAACATAGTATACTATCTAAACTACAGCACGTTCCGTACCTGATGAACTGCATTCAACCGCATGGAATCCGGGCCGCGTTTCCTCACTGCAGCTTCCTCGGTCACCAGATCCGCATGGCGGCCCGCGCCATGCGGCCGCGGGCCGCGGGCACTGCGGGCCGCGGGCACCGGCACCTAGGCAGGGCATCCCCAAGGGCGGTGTGAAGAAGATCATCCTCACGGGCAGTGGTGGCACCTTTCGAGAGATGTCCGGGCCCCCGGTCTTTCTGTTGACGTGATCGGCGTGCCCGGCCTTTCTTGGCCCGGTGGTACGCTGCGGTTCGGAAACGCTGCGCAGGCGCTTTTGAGTTCGTGAAGTCTTGCACATGATGAGATGGTACTGGTAAATATAGCTCAACTCAAACTCACACATCTCGGGTGTTTCTTCACCAGGGGGTGACTTGGTGTTGTGGTTGGTACGGCCTCTCCCGCTTTGCAGCGAGAATTCACAGGTCCTTGGAGGACATGAAGAAGGAGGATCCTGAAGTGTTCGGCAGCCCCAGACCTTCGGTGAGGAGGGCTCATTTTTGCCAATACTTCATGACACCTATGGGTTTGTATGGATTTTCCAATCCATCGAGGTGAAGAGAGAGTTTGGACTCAGATTTTGGGGCCCCACTTTCAAGTTGTGTCCCTTTGGATCTTCTGGGGGGACTCCTTTGAAGTATCTTGCATGAGCTCAACATGCAAAAAAGAGCCCATGGAGTCCATGGAGGTGCGACCAAGGGTTTCTTGTTCTTGGAAGATGCCATCAGATCTACATTGTGACAGAAGTTGGCGCTTATGGTCTCCGGCTGAAGGCGGAGGCAGATGATGCCAATCCAGGAGTCGGCAGACAAATCTGACCACAAGGAGTTTCCACATTCAGAAGAATGAATCCTCACAGCCTTGTCTGTGGCGGTGGGTGGGAATAGATTTGATCAATGCCCAGAGGGTGGAAGGTGTCAAGTTGCTGTCTTCAGCATCCAAGAGTTATCTCTTGAAGATTCCCTCAGCCAGAGCTTGGACAGCGGCACTTGGCCAAGTTGGGACTTGGAATTATCAAAAGACTTGGGGTGGGTGAATTTCCCAAGCGTCTCCAATGCCTAACCCATTGACATGTTCCATGTTCCTCACAAAAACAAAGACTTCCAATGCGTGTCAATCATCGAGACAACCCCAACACTCTCGTATGCTGAACCATGGGCGTTTTTGTCGGGGAGTGCTACTCAGCATTAGACTCTCGACCAGTTCTCTGGGTCACCTGGATCCATCAGTGGATCTCCTTGGACCTTTCCGTTGATCTCCTGGGACTCTTCAAATTCCAGAGCCCTCTCGAAGTCACCTTCCACAGTCTGAAACGCTTCCTTGACCCATCCTTCAGAGGGTGTTTCCTGGCCAGAATCCTGTGGTTTGGAGAGTCCAACTCTTTGTCCGTTCAGGGAACCCACGTCATCCATGCAGCGAACTGGAGGGCCGATTTTCGTGTTTTCGAAGCATCATTTCACTTGTTGTGGTCGAACAAACATGTCTTATTTTGTTAATTTGTATTATATATACTTTCTAAAAACATGGGTCCCTTTTATTTGGCAGGCATCCATTGAACATGGGCGGTTCGATGCAGACCATGCAGACCACGCAGACAACTCCCACTTCCAACCTTCTGGCGAGCTGCCACGCGAAAATCACCGTGTGTAGCCAGTTCGCTCAGTGTAGTACCATCGTAATACATCAACAACTGATCCAGCTTTTGAGCATGAAACACCGTGCAAACACCCGCCGCTCGTTCCAAAGCAGCAGGGAACCAGCGGCTCCGTGGTGTTCCCGTCGCTCCGCTCACCGACCCTCTGGAGCCGACGAGTCCAGTGGAGTTCGGCCCGCCGTCTCTCCACCGACTCTCCGGTCGCCACCGAGGCTCCGGAAGCGTTCCACAACACACCCCAATTGGGACATGGGCGTCCGGGCGCCGAATGGACGCCCGGGAAGGCGATGGGTCTGGACAACGTGGACACGGTGAAGGGAGAAGGGACGAATTTGAGCCTGAGTGCATGAGCTGGGTGAGAGATGGGTGAGATGGGTGGAATCAAACATAATCAAACCCACCTTTTGTGGAGCTTCAAAGCCGGGTTTTACGGAGATTTTGTCCTTTTCCCTTGGAGCAACTCCCCTGTCAAGGAAGATATATTCATTTTTTCAGGGTTGCTTCAGCCGATTCTTCTCCAGATAGCGTAGCTATGGGGTTCTTACTTCAAATAACAATGAGTTGCCCGTGCACGCTTTCGAGACAGGTTGCTGGTGCTGGTGCTGTGAGCTGGCTGTGCACGTGGTGGAAACAGGTTGCTGGTGCCGGTGCTGGGTGCCGGTGCTGGTGCTGTGAGCTGGCTGTGCACACGGTGGAGACAGGTTGCTGGTGCCGGTGCTGGTGCTGGGTGCCGGTGCTGGTGCTTTGAGCTGGCTGTGCACGTGGTGGAGACAGGTTGCTGGTGCTGGTGCTGGGTGCCGGGTGCCGGTGCTGGTGCTGTGAGCTGGCTGTGCGCGTGGTGGAGACAGGTTGCTGGTGCTGGTGCTGGGCGCCGGGTGCTGTGAGCTGGCTCTGCACGTGGTGGAGACAGGTTGCTGGTGCTGGTGGTGAGTGCCGGGTGCCGCCGCTGGTGCTGGTGCTGTAGTGAGCTGGCTGTGCACGTGGTGGAGACAGGTTGCTGGTGCCGGTGCTGGTGCTGGGTGCCGGGTGCGGGGTGCCGGTGCTGGTGCTGAGTTGGCCGTGCACATGGTGGAGATAGGTTGCTGCTGCTGATGCCGGTGCTGGTGCTGTGAGCAGGCTGCGCATGTGGTGGAGACAGGTTGCTCGCGCTGGTGCCGGTGCTGGTGCTCGTGCAGTGAGCTGGCTGTGAGACAGGTTGCTGGTGCTGGTGGTGTAGCAGTAGCTTGCATATGTAGGGGGGTTCTTCTTCCCAGATAACGATGCTATGGCTTCTTACTTCAACTGACAACAATGAGCTGCCTGCGCACGCTTTCGAGACAGGCAGCCGGTGCTGGTGCTGATGCTGTGAGCTGGCTGTGCAGGGTGCCTGGGTGCCGGTGCTGGTGGTGGGTGCTGGCTGTGCGCGTGGTGGAGACAGTGTGCCGGGCGCCGGCGCCGGGTGCCGGTGTTGGGTGCTGGCTGTGCGCCTGCTCCCCAGATAGCGACAGCTGTGCGCGATGATAATGAGCTGGCTGCACGCGCTTTCGAGACAGTGCTGGGTGCCGGTGCCAGGCGCTGGTGCTTGGCTATGGTGCCGGTACTGGGTGCTGTGAGATGGCTGTGCGCGTGGTGGGGACACGGTGCCGGTGCTGGGTGCTGGCAGTGCGCGTGGTAGAGACAGCGGGCGCCGGCGCCGGAGCTGTGAGCTGGCAGCGCGCGTGGTGGAGACTGGGCGCCGGTGTTGGGTGCTGGCTGTGCGTGGTGGAGACTGGTGCTGGTTATACCGGTGCTGGGTGCTGGTGCTGGGTGCCGTGAGCTGGCGTGCTGGTGCTCGGTGCTGGTGCCCGCTTCTGACAGTGAAGTGACAACAACCGCCGCTTCTGACAGTGAAGGGTAACAAACCGCCGCTTGCAGCAGTGAAGGGCGACCAAGCGCCGCTTCTGACAATGAAGTGCCAGCAGTCATGGGCCGCATGAACTTATGCGCGCAACATCATACGGTGTTGTCGCTTGAGCGTTCTTTGTCTGTTAGCGCGCTGTGGGGTATTTACACTCTTCAGGTTCTGTTTTGGCCGACAGCTGTGTCAAGGGCTGTACTGTTTGCGCACTTTTGCACGTATAATGTTCTATGCGCAACGTCAGGCTCTCAACCGACCATTGTTTCAGCATGCTACACACACGATAGTCGTGCTGGATGCTGCTTGGCCTTGGGCGAGTGAAGTCTACGGGCTTTGCCGTTTGTGCGCGCACTTTTGTGCGCATAAGCTTATCCGCGCAAGATCATACGGCCTTATCGTTCTGCAGATCGTTGCTTCAAGCATGCTACAAAGTCAACAGTGGCGCTGGATACTGCTTGGCCTTGGGCCAATGACACTTACGGGCTTTGCTGTTTGCGCGCACACTTTTGTGCGCATAAACTTATACGCGCAAAGATCATACACTGTTATTCCCCAAGTAGGGATAGCTATGGGTTTTTGCTGCAAATGAGAATGAGCTGGCTGCGCGCGCTTTCGAAATCGGTGCTGGTGCTGGTGTTGTGGTCCTGGGTGCTGGTGCTGTGAGCTGGCTGAGCGCGCGTTTGAGACGGGCGGCGGCGTTGGTCGGCCGCTGGCGCCGCTGCCGGTGTTGTCAGCTCGCAAAGCGCACCGGTGCTGGTGTCAGCTGATTGTGTGCGCTGTGGAGGTGCGGTAAGCTAGCTGTGCAGGCTGCGTACATTCTTGTTCCAGCCAGTCGCATGTCAACAGGTCGTGGGATTCTGCCTAGCTATCTGGGCCTATGCTGGTGTAATTATGTACTTTCGGTTCCTGGTTGAGCAAATGCAAGGAAACCCCAGACAATTCGCAGGCTTGGAAGACAGGTCCCAACCTCGCTTGTCTTGGCTTTGGGTCGAGATGCACGCCGCGCAGCGCAGCGCAGCGCAGAGAAAGACCGCTCATCGAACTCGTCACTTCAACGGAACCAGCGGCCTGCAGCGCTTGGTCTCACCGTCGCAGGTCTCGAGAGGTCCGCCTGAGAGGTCCGGCGCAGGTCGGTGAAGAGGAGAGACATCGATCTGAAGCACTGAACAGCAGGACCTTCCGAAAAAAGCTCGCCCGGTGGTTTTTGGACCACCCGAATCACCTCTAAGAGGCAATTTATGGACACCCTCCTGGTAGGTCCGGGTAGTCAGATGGATCTGGGTTTTTTCCGGGCCAAGAGCTCTAATCCGTGCCTGCTCGGTTCCCCTCCTCAACTCTTTTCTGCTAGCCAGTCTTCTACATAGGGCCGCTGCCGAGGCCAAGATTACCGTCGATTCGTTGGGGAGCTCAGACAGCATAGAGAACCCCAACACGACATTTCGAAATCGATGAAATGGGTAGCAAGATTTAGCAAGTGCATATGTCATGTGATGTCATGTGTGATTTTTTTGTGTAGCATGTTCTTGTTTAGGTGACAAATTGGGATCCAACAAGTATAGGACATATCGGCATGACATACATAGCTCAAGATTTGCGAATCCTATTTAAGACCTAGCCAGGTGGCGGGCTCCTGAATGACATCCCAAGAAGAGAAGAGCTTAAAACCGGTCAAGAACAAGCATGGCCATGGGGCCAACCCCCCACGATAGATGGGTGCGACCAGATACTGAAGTCAACTTCAAGCTCAGAAGTCGCTGATTCCGCCGGGGGAGGTGCAGGGCGACCTAACAGGTATGGAGAAACACATTAGAAAGACATGGATGTCCTCTAAAAGGGGCTGATCAGCACATGTTATCACCTTTCACACACTGGACTCTGAGTTGAGCAGCAGGATCGATCCACGTCCAAGGTCCACCATGATGAACAAAGGCTTGGAGGTCATCGAGGCGTCAGGGCCCTAGCTTTGGCAGACCCGCCGGTCAGCGGAGCTGGTGGAGTGGGGACGTGAATCCCGGCCTTGCGACCGTTTTCCGCCTTCCTCACGATCAGAACGAGATCTCGTTCGGACCTTCTGAGCGTTTCGGACCTTCCAGGCCCTTTGAATGCTTCCGTTTTCAGTGGCGACCCCACCAAGTGAGATGATCGAGCGAGCTTCCATGAGTCGAAGGTGACGGCAAACTACGTCCGTCCAACGGTCGCCTTCTTGTTGTACCTGACCTAAGGCACTGGCTCTATGGTGTAGACTACGATGACATCGAGGTGGTGCTGGGACCCCGGGGGCGACCAAGGGCGACCTTGGGAGTCGCTGAGGAGTGAAGTGTGAGTTTTTCACGGACGCTACGAACGTCACAAAGGGCATCGCTATGAACGGAGCGATCGGACGCTACGAACGTCTTCACCGGTGTTTTTTGGTGTCCTTTTGAGACATAGCCGCTAGATGGAGATGCTCATGTCGTTCCCAATGGCGCTTTGTGTTTCACTGAGGATCCACCCGCAGTCCATTGTGCACAGTGCGGTGGAGTGCCAGGCGGAACAAAAGCATCTTTGTGGCAAAGACATCTTGGATGGGAAGAGAATAGAAGATACCTCTCGGGACTTGCACACACACTTAACTTGTATTTGTGTGAAAAGATATGAAAACGCATCTTTTTGGGATTCCGATTTTCGTACTTGGACGGCTGTTGGTTTGGCATTTTGTGTGGTGCAAAGGATGATGCAGATGGCCAAGTCTTTCTTTTGGACGCTCGGCCTACGGGGTACATCTGAAAAAGAAGAGAAACAAAGCCTGTGGACCCACAGCCGGATTGTGGGGTTCCCCAGTCAGAGAGAATCCCAATTGATATTCTGAAAAAATGGACCATAACCCCTGCTAACGCCTCTCCAGGAGTCTACAGGGTAATTACACTGCCTGGAAGAATTAAAATTGTCCCTTGGAAGACAACTTTCCTCTACAAACAAGGGGTTGTCCACTTCCATGTTGGTTCCAGGGAGAGTATACCTTTCACTTGATCTTCAGAAAAGTGACCCTAATCTGCAGTTCTCCATGTCAAGCTCGGGTGGAGAAGGGCTGGTCACTGGTCTGCCAGTTATGCATGGTCACACCAGCCGGGGGTCCTTTGAACAGATTTGCGATGGAGCGAGGTCACCGGGCCGGGAATCATTTCTTTTTTTCGAAGATCAAAATCAACCCCCTTTGCTAGGCCTCCAGACGTGGATTGTCGCGATGTCGATTGTAGCCTCCAGACAGGTCCCTCCAAATCGATTGTAGCGCCACGAGAATGAGCGAAACCAACAAACAAATAGAATTTCCTTTGCCAAGCCAACAAAGCGCGTCTGAAGGCTATGGCATGGGGTGGCCAGGCCACATGCCACATGCCAAGCTCCTTCCAGCCTGGGGCCTGCGCAGGACACCGCCATTCTGATGCAGACCGGTTGGCCAGACATGCGCCTTCCCATCCTCTATGCGCTGTCGCACCCCTCCCGCGTCCGGGTGGCCTGGAGGGAGGTGATTGAATCGATGGTGAACAACCCAAAGTGACCTGCTGTGAAGCTGGAGGTGACCAGAAAGGTCCAACGTGGTTGCGTCCAAAGGCGGGCATGTTTATAGGTGATCTATTTTCCCTTCTTGCAGGGGGTCTTTTGGGAGGTCTCCCTATTTCAGTAGACAAATGAACCAAAAATGCATGGATGGATGGAGGGTTCAGTGGAGCCTTGGCCCTTGGCATACTGAGTACTCCGACCCCTTTCAGGCTTTCAACTGGTGGAGTGTGTGCCTTCTCCCCAGGTGCCGGCAGACCTGCCGAACCCCCGCGACGGGCGGAACTTCGACGACTGGTGGATCGGCGACTCGGATGAGATGATCGGTTGGATCGAGAGGATCGGTGGGCGAAAGGAAGCCTTTTTTGGAAGGTACACACTGTCGGCCTTTTGTGGCTTTGTGATGTTTGTTATGTTTGTTCATGCTTGTGCTAGATTCTGTCAACTTGAGAACAAGCCTCCTGTTGTTTTTCAAGAATGTGGGAGAATGACCATCAACGATGAAAGCTTCCTGGCCGGCCTGGAAGCGAAGGGCTAAGCACTGGAAGCAGTTCACCTATGCTACGTGGGCCTCCATATGCTTGGACCGTCAGTCGTACATAAGTCGTCTTTTTGTGGAAATCATTTGATCGTGGCCATGGAATCACAGCTGTTCAGAGATTGTAGGCCCATGCATGGTCATATTCACTTCCATTCGTCTCACTGTGAAGTCACAAGCCACCTCAATGAGCGCCACGAAAGTACTAGCCATGCATGGCCATCTGAATCAGCTTCCTCCTCCCATCCTCCTCCCATCCCCCTCCGGTGCCGCGCAACGACCAGACGAATTACAGTACATACTTCAACCCGGCAACCGGGCAACCCGTGATGGATCGAGGTGATGGCAAAGATGGGAAGCTGACCTTCGGCACCTTCGGCTGAGCGGCGTTTTGGGGGCTGAGCGCGTTCAGCCGGGCGGAGTGGGTGGGAATCCTCGTGCTCAGATGGCTACACCTGGGGGAGAGTCCAGGCTTCGCCAGCTCTGCGTGTTTTCTTGTTTGGATGCCAGCTACTCTGAATAATGAAACGTGAATGGGGATCTGTACAGATCCGTTTGAGCCTGGTCGTTTGAGTTTGAGCCACATCCGGTGACCGTTTTGAGCTTGGTCGAAACGTTGTGCTCATTGGCTCAGCTGAATACATGAACGCAAGAAATGGACGTTTTTTATTCACATTTTCCAGCAGTTCGCTGGAGGACATTTGAAGCTCCTGAAGTTCAATGGGTGCTTGTAGCATTCCATCGATCCAAACACACCCACCAAAGCCTGTGATGCGAACATATGAAGCTCCGTCCTGAATGCAGTGAGTCGACATGTGAGGCGAAATCATGGCACCACGAGTGAGTCGAAATGTTAGTGAATTTCTGGCCAAGCACAGACCTTGGCAACATAGAAGGCAACACGAGTCCAAGTATAGCTATTACTTTGGGCCACTTAGAAGGCATAGATATATTTTTGGGGCCACATTTTTGAGATCACACCGTCACACCAAATCAACACGAGAATCCAGGTGGTTTCGGCGGGCCAATGTTCGGCAATCTCCTCGCACCTCATTCATTACCACGAGAAGGTGTATCACCATATGAGCCTGGTTCCGGGGCAGCATTATTTGGTGGGCCACCCTGTCTCATGTGCGGCCCAGGAAAGCCCGATCTCGAGAAGTATCCTTGCATTCGCTTGGGCCCCTGGATGTTGGTTCGGCATGGCCTTAGAACCGAGCAGGTTGTTCCCATCATCAGTTCTGGAATGCATTTTGAACACGACTTGGCAAGTAAGAGAGGAATTCTTATAGTAACAGGTTGTTTCCCCCTACCTACCAGTCTTCTCAGAATTCTTTTCATTTAGGAGACTGCTATGGGCCTAGGGCCTGCAAGTATCCAGACAGGGGCCCCAAGTCAATACCTGGAGTTCAGCATCTCTCCACCTTGTTGGTTGTTCTCCAAGTTGCTGGTTGGTCTCCACTGGCAAGTCTTTACCATCATTCTTGCCTGAATCTGGGCCCTGATTTGCTTGAAGTCCTATCTCACAGTCCTGAATTTCCTTTGGGATCCCTGCTTTCATTCTTTTACCTTTGCCGAATCCACTCATCCACTCCTCGCGCGGCACGGTCCGCAGGACTGGCCTACCGTGCTGGGCGGATTGGAGGGACAATGCCGGCCATCCTCTCGGCGGCCAACGAGCAGGCAGTAGAGCTCCTCCTCACCAAGGCGCGAGCGTCGCTCGTGTCGCTCCGTTGTTTGTGATCGCTTTCGGAAGATCGAGGTTTCGGTGGACACACCGAACGGAGGCCAGGCTAGGAGGCGAACGAAGTCCCATTCTGGGAAGGTGAAGGTGTTGTGTGTGGGTGTTTTTTGAAGAGATATACAGTAGCTGTACAGTAGCTATAGCATACTATACAAACATATGATATAACAACATTAACAAACAAATAAGTACAACAACTATATATATATATTATATATATATATATTATATATATATATATTATATATATATATATATCAATATATCAATCAATCGATCGATCGATCAATCAATCAATCACTCAGCCAGCCAGCCAACCAGCCAGCCAGCCAGCCAACCAACGAAACAACTACTGGCTTTGGGGTCGCGACATGATGGGTTTGGTAACTCTTCTGACCACCTCCTTGGTAAGGTCTACACAGCACACAGCCACTCTGCAGATTGCTGGCTTAAGCAACCCGCGGACACAGAGGGACTAGTGGATTTCTAGTGTGACGCCCTCTAGCTGTGTAGACACCCTGCACCATGATAGCAGCAAACAGATCGAAGTGCAAGCAGGACATCTACAGTAAATGCAATGGAACATCAAGAGCAAAGTCTGGAGGTTTCACCGATTCCAAGTGTCCGACATGCTCTGATGCGGAAGATTGTTGATTGTTTTGAACATGAAGAACACGTATTTTTAACATGTTCTTTTGTCCCTGCGGTGTGGGTCTTGATCCACACCCAGTGGACAACAGAAAGGCTCGAGCGGAGCTTCATGGAGCTTCCGCAGAACAAAACTCGCAGATCTGGATGGGTGAAATCCCGCCACCATCCCCATTGGCACACCTCTACTCCTGAGTCATCCCCACCTGACTTCAGGGATTGCACTCAGCTCCATGGCCCCCTTGCACTTCCGCCATGGCCATGCAGAGGACCAAGGTGGCGCACGACGAGCGCGCTCCTCCCGTCCTGCGCGCGACGAAGATCGCGCGGAACGGCGACTTCGGCGACTCTGGCGACGAAAACCGCACCGAGCGCCATGCGAAACGCCCGCGCGGCGGGATCGCCGGGGGTTCCAGCGTGGTGCTGGGGCACAGTGGATGCAGACCATGTCGCGCTTCAGTGGCCTTGGGCGCAGTCGTTGCAGCCTGGAGGACATTCAGAGGTTGATGTTGCCACAGCTTGACCTCACAGTTGGATCAGATTAGAAGCTTGTTGGAGCCAGTGTTCTTCCCAAATGATCCCGAATGTCGGTAAATCGAAACATATTGGAACTCTGTCTTGCAGTTCCTATTCTTGGAAGCTCACAGAAGGCCTTTGAAGGCAAAACAGAGCTCTGTGTCCGTTGCTTTGAGGCCGCCTCGGGTTGGTTGCTGGCCACTCTGCTGCCTTTTGCTGCCACGCCCCACGTGACGTATCGACAGAAGCCGGAGAAGCGGCTCTTGGTGTTTCACATCATCGAGCAGCTCCTCGCAGCGGCGCTGGGTGTTTTTCTGTTTGTGATGTCGGTGTTTCTAATGTGACCAATGTGACCAACCTGAAGGTTTTTTTGGGACGAACTGGCATGGATTTCGCTAGAGAAAGAACTGGTGGAAGAAGGTTGCCCATCATTCTTTGGAGAAACTGAGGGGGTGAGTGGTGGTCCCTGATGAGTACTAGTGTCGAAGTGGGATGGAAGAGTTTCCAGCTACTGTTGATAGACCAAAAAAGGACAGTGTTGTCCGTGTTTACATAATCCTCGGACTCGGATGGGTTACGGGTTTTATCACCGTGTCCGACGGTTGTTGCGCACTCGAGAGAATGTGAATCCTTTGAGTTACGCCATCACGGAGTCTCCTTTTACACTAAAAGCCTGATCCAAAACGCTGCATTCAATGACTTGAACCTTAACCGTACTATCTATGACGTGAAGGAAGCTTCTCGGGTCATTCTCACTGACAGCCTTTTCCCCGTGCCTGTCTTACTCCGGGCTTCCCGAAGTTGCTCGCTGTCTTCCAGGTTTGGTGGAGCCTCGAAAAGCTTGATGCAGTTCTTAAACCTGGCGCAGCGCTTGGAGCGCCGCCCGGTCTTGCCCGGGATCCTGGCCAAGCATCCCTATGACAACACCGTGTATCGCTCAGCGAACACGAAATCCGTGCAGGACTTGGAGGAGTTCTTGGAGCTGTTCCTTGGAGTGGTACGGCCGTACCTTTTTAGCCCAAGGAATTTAAGGAATTGGATGGTGGATGGCCTACCTACGAAGCTCAACCCTGTTATGTTCTACTCATGACAACAAAACCAGCTGTTGGATGGACTTGAAATGCGGTGGACAGGGCAGATGGCACATGATCCCCCCGCGGTGGTTTGCATACACTCCTAGAACCATCTCACCAAGGGTTGCAAACAATTTACATAATATCATGCATATGTTTTTGTAGGTGCTTGGAAAATGTATAAACATGCGGACAGCATATTGCGTATAAGGACAAAATTGAAAGGCATGGTATTCAACACCTTCTATTAAAACACACCATAGGTCCAGGTCAATGCCAGGATTCTGCTGCTTTAGTCTGTTTGAATCTTTTCAAACCCCAGGAGCACGCTTTTTTAACCCAAAGACCTTGTGTTGTAACACTCGGACAATTTCTTTTTAAACTCATGAACCTTCTTTTCTAACCCTACAAGACTACAGACTCCTTCATAAAGCCGGCAACTGACGTATATATATATAATATGCTGTGCATGTTGCACATACACATCTACATAATTACTTCGATTTGCACCGAATTCGTCGATCGATGGCCATGAGCTTCCGCGTCGTGGCCAGGAAGGCTTGCAGAGTGGTTACAAGTCGTGTTTCAGAAGATGATTTAGGAATGGACGTGCTTCCAAACAACCAAACGTATTCCAACACAGATAGCAGACCTTCTCGTAGAACAGGTTTTGCAGGATGCACAGGAACCCATTGAAAGTATCTGAAAGTGTTTCCGCACAACCAAGCACAATTAGAACACAGACAGCAGACCTTCTTCGATCCAGTTTTTGCAGGGGACAGGACACCACACGAAACCACGTCCACGTCCACGTCTGTTGCGGTCACAGGGTGTCAACACGGCCCTCGTGAACATGAAAGACTTCCAGCTTCTCTTTGTTTTGGCAACATTCCTGAGGGCCAGCGGAAATTTGTCCGTCCGGGCTGACTCCCACAGAAAGTGGCCCCAATGTTCAAGCCTGTACTGAACATTCTTATTTTGGACTTGGTGTTTCAAGGTACATATTATCATATATACATGTTCTACTGTATATATATATATATTCTTTTAAAGTCATGCTTCTTTGTACACATATATATATATATAAAGTCATGCTTCTTTGTACACACATGTATATATATATATACACATATACATGTATATATATACGCATATATATATATATACACATACATATCATAGATCGCCGTATGCTAAGCAGAGAACACCATATGCGGAAGCAGAACCTGAAAACTGACAGGATCACCTGAACCGTTTCGATGTTGGCACTAAATGAGAACACACGGAAGAAGCAAACAGAACATGGTGTTCACCACCCTTCTCGACTGGATGGGTTAGTCATCACCCCTTGAGTCATTGAGGCCACCGCCTTGAGGCCACTTGCCCATCGCCAGGTCTAGTCTAAGCTCCGGCTTGATGCAGCCCATCGGCTTCCGCGAGCACCTGGCGGAGATGGGGAGCCTGGTCGATGCGATCCTGGTGACGGTGATGGATCCCTTGCACCGGGGTCCAGCCTTCAATCCTTTGAACACGGAAGGGCCCATTATGGACACTTAGACTCTGAGTCAGGGCCCATGGGAGAGAAAAACATGGACATACTTGGAGCAGTAATTATAGAGCGAACGGTGCGTAAAAGAAGAAAGGTGAGGTCGTTGCTACAAAGATCTTGGGTGGATTGTTGTTTGTTTCTCTTTTCAGAGTTTGGGTGTTGGTTTTGCTGGTACCCCGCTCACGAAGTGAGGTAAAGTTCTATGTATTTATTTATGTATACAGTGTGATCATCATAAGTTTAGAGGAGGCTTTTTTTGATGGAGGTGAGCTTGGTGGAGATAGGTTTAGAGACTAAATTGATGGACACCCTGTACTTTTTTTTGATAGGGTGAACTTTGACACAAGAGTGACATCACTCAGAGAACTTGATGTTGCACGCAACATCCAACGGATGCTCCGTTAATGCGTCTCTCTACAAACTCTGACAGCCTCATGACTCGTCGTTCACGCACCGATCCCCACGTCGTTCACGCGGATGTGAAGTTCAGAAGGCACACCTACACTCTGTGCTTTCTTGCCGCCCAACCACGCCCCCACGCAGAGGGACCCGCCGCGCCGTCGGGTCGTTGGAACAGCGACACAGCGTTTTTACATTCCTTCGATAGCGTTTACTACGCGCGACCGAGCGTAGTGCACTGCGCCGAGCAGTGCACGACTGATGAACATCGCTGAGAGACCATCTCTAAACCCATGGCGGAAGCCTCGGCCTCGGCCTTGAAGTGCCTGCAACGAAAAGATGGGAGTGAGAAGAGTTGACTGAGCCTTCAACGGGGACGTTCCCGCAGCAAGAGAGAACTCTTTGGATCGGTTTATCTGATCCTTTCAGTGACATGTTGCAGCTACCTGGTAGAGGGTATATCATTTTGCTAGAGGTCATTAGTGGTTACTCTAAAGACTCTACAAGGTCTTCATTGTGAGACCGCACCATGTGAGGCGCATGCCACGTTCGGCCGTTCTTTGTCGTTTGTCCTTTTTTCCGCCATTGTTTGTGTGTATGTTTAGCGCGAAAATGTGGTCTGTCAGGAGTGCCAGTGGTTGTTGAAGAAATGCACAAAGAAGCCGCTGAAGTGTGGGGAAAGCTTCATGTGGAGGTGGGAAAGCTTCGCATGGCATGTTCGTTCCATCGCTTTTTTCGTGATTCCACCGGTGGGGCTCTTTCGGCTCCGGAAACACCGTGATGGACATGCATTCTGATTTGGTGAACTAACACCTCCTACTGGACAGAGAATCCAGTTTGTGGCGGAGAATCCAGTTTGTGGCGTGGTAGGTGTCATTGTAAGAACGAGACGTCTCTAGCACTGTGAGGTGTGGGATTTCTGTGCAAGTTGGTTTCTGTTTCGGCAGGTGATCATTGTTTTAGCACCTCAAGCATGAGATATGGTTGGATTCTTCATTAGCACTGAGCACCTTGATTTAATGCGACCTCAACCTGGTATTGTTGAAACATGTTTTGACCCGACCTACTGACCCACCGACCGAAGCAACATGAAGCCACTGTCTCCTAGCTCGGGGCTTCGGATTCGCGAACAGCACCTGGCTGTCTTGCTTTGTCCCCAACGACTCGCGTGTCTTCGAACCGTACCGCGCGTACCGCGCGAACGAGTGGACGAGCTCCGGGAAAGGTTGGACCTCCGTGGCTTTGATAGTTGGCAGCTGCGGAAAAATGCCAAGATCTGGTGCATCCACAACAATGTTCCTTGGATTCCCCATAAGGGGTGGTCGGTGGGCGTTTTTGAGGACCAAAGCACTGGTTTGGGATGCTCCGGGGGGCCGGGGGGACCGGGGAACCAGCTTCCGTGTCCGACGGACACAGCCTCATGGAACCAGGGCACCATGCAGTGATGCAGACTCTTGACTAACAAAACCCCCCCATTCGGATTGCAATACTTCTTCTACCACCCCGCCGGCCCGAACAAGAACATGAATTCCCGGACGAGACAGGCCCCCACGATAAACACGCACAGGTCGCATGAGCGGCCACAAAAAGACAACGTGAGTTAAAAAGGAACCTCCCCAAGGAACCTCGCGCCGGGGGAACCTCCCCACGGAACTCGAGCTGCAACCTGAGGAGTTCCCTGGTACCGGCCACGAGGAGTTCCCCTGAAACCGGCCACCAGCGTTTCAGCCCGGTCGACTCCTGGCCCCCGAACACGGTGTTCACCGTCTCGGACGGTGCGCAAGAACGATGTTCAGCGTTGTGAAGCGTTGGCAGGTCCACTTGTGGAAGAAGGAGTTGGGACCGCTTCTGCAGAAGCAGTTCTCATGGGCCCGACATCTGCTGTTGCTGATGCTTGGAGAATCACTGCATGAAGTAGGGACGCTACTATAGTAGCTATTGGCTATTTGCTACTAGTAAGGCCAGGAGCTACTAGTAGCGTCCTTGCTCCTAGTAGCGATGCCCTTTGTTACTATATAATAGCTATTGGCCACTCCCCCCAAAATCATCCCAAGATCGTCCCAAAGGCTCGGAGCTTCGTCCAGTCTTTGAAACGTCAGGACTTGGTAGTTGGATGCGGTTTTTGAAACGTCCAGAACTCGGAGACACCCCGAAGGTGTCCTGTCGATCCACAAGTCGTGTAGGATGTTGGAGACCAACGGACGGTACGAGTTCTGTTCGTTCCAGTTTCGACGGTGCCGTGTTCATCTGGCATTTCAAGAGGGACACCTCTGTTGATCTCAATTCCACGTGGCGCACCACGTGGCGCACCACAGTCAGCACAGACCACAGGCCAACCACCCCAGGTGACCATTGTGACCTTTCTCTAGAGCAGTCTTTCTCCTTTCGGGTCAACACCGAGATGAACACCCAGTCAGCACCATGTGTTTTGCTTTAGCTGCCCAACAGAACAACCCAGAACACCACAGGCTGTGGTCGAGGTTGTTAACATGGGTTGCGCCCCATTCTTAGCCGACCAGGTAGCAACTTGGGGTTCCTGTTTGAGTCACATCCTGAACCACTCATCCCCTCCAAAAGTGACCCATGGCCTCCCATGGCGCAGTGGGCGCGCCATGGGCGCGCCATGGGCGCGCCATGGGAAGAACCTCTGCGCTGAGGAATTGGGTCGGTGTCACGCAGGCGCCCTGCAATAGCCCCAATCGCATTTGCTCCTCCAAGCTCGACACACATGGAACCATGAGCGCGCTGGAGCACCACCTGAAACGCTGGCGCTTGAGCAGCAATGTCCAAAACTTGGCTGAGGTGGGAGTGGGGTTTGGGCTGGCCGAATGGGCTGGCCGAGTTCGGCCTCCGAGCGGCGGGAGTGAGTTAGCTTGGAGTCTGAGACCGCTGGCGGTTGTCCTGATTGAAGGGTATCAACCACCAGAGCAGATAGGAGATTGTTTGAGGTGAAGCTTGTGGAAGAGCACTCTTCAGATGCAAGATGGGATGGTTGGAGGATCTCCCAGGCAGAAGGCCTAAGGCCTAAGGCCTCATGTTTCTTGATCGGTCACCGCCACTTGTTCATCAGGGGTATCTGAGTAGATGGAGTGATTTCTGGGGTGATCTTCCGAGTAGACCCTGGTCAGTCGCACAAGATGGTCATGCCGCTCTTGTACATCAAGCCTCTGACACTCCCTGAAACGGAAGTGTAACATTGGCGTCTGGAAACGATGAAATCCTAATACCAAGCACGTCGTCTGCTCAAGCTCCTGTCTGATGGTACACACACACATATATATATAGTCTTGACCAACTCGCTGCCCATGTTGTTTGTTTCATTTTGTTTCCAAGAAGAACAACGTTTGATCTCCTGCCCCAGGACTTCTTGGTGAGGCATCCTGAGCTGGGGTGGACCTACAATGCGGTCCAGTTGCGCGCAGAGATGGTGCTGAACTATCGCTACCTCAGTCCCACATGCAACGATACTGGAGTCTATCAATGGTTTCAGACCTTGAGGTCTCAAATTAGCACATGGAATGGCACATGGTTCCGTGCCAAAGATCTCAAGAAAGGTGGCTCCAGGACCTTGAAAAGATACGACAACGAGAGCATGCAGCGTCTGGTGGAGCTGGAGAGAGATCTGTGGCGTGACTCGCCTGTCACCTTCATTGAGAATGAATGTGAAGGAGCGACTGGGCAGTTGGGGTTGGGAAGAATGTCTTCCACGTGTTTTCGCCATGTGTCTTCCATGTAAGCAAAGGAGATGACTGATATGACCAACCAGGCCAGGTCTGGAAGTTTCTTTTACCCCATGCAGCAAGCAGGACTGCCCGACGTCATGTGCTTGCTCGTAGATGTGGCCCTCCTCTCCCGCGCCGAGCGCCTCTACTTGTGGGGCTCCTCTGGCGGGGTGGATCTCTGGTGTCGCATTGAGCGGGAGCGCCTGAATTTGCCAAGCCGCCATGTCTTCCGCAGCATGCTAGCGCCACAGGGCTGCTAGGCGACTGGCTGACTGGTGCGAAGTTCAGTGCCATCAGGGTCCAGAAAAGGCGTTGCTGTTCATGGCAGGGGCTGTGGAGTTAGTCACGAGTCAGTGGTGAATACCAACAAACTAGACAATCGTTTCATGTTGCAAAGAGGTTGCCATGCAAGGGTTCCCGAATCTGTTCAGACCCGACCAATCTAGAATTTCTCTCCTTGTGGATGTCAGCCATTTTTGAGCCGAAAAACATCGATTCCAATCGCTGGTCCACCAGTTTTACGTTTCTATTTTTTTTTTCTCCGTCTTGACCTTTGCAGGGCTCTCTTCAGAGCTGACCATTTTGTTGCGAACAGGAGATTTGGCAGGCTCCTCCGAAAAAGACCCAAAAGCCACACATGCCAGGTTGCCTCAAGAGCCCACCTGGTGCGGATTTCCTTCTGTTCTGCGCCAGTGAGGATCATAGATCACCTTCATTTCGGAAGACATCAGTTTACCCACCCAATCGCCCAAAATACCACCTCCTAGATGAAAAAGACCAGCCCAACGGTCCAGCCTTTGCCTTATGTTATATTATAGACTCTTGAGGTACAGAAACCCACCCCAGTTTGGATTAAAAGCACCTCCTCATATGGGGGGTTTAGCTACATGACTTCACGTGCTGACCCCGACTCCCTTCGTCTCCCTTCGGTCCAGGAGATTGATTTCTTGGACATCCCAGCTGTGCTGGAGAAGGTCATGGACAAGGCCTCGCGTGAAGTCCGTGCTTCCGGTGTAATCTTCGACCCCCTTGGTGTTGGCATGGAACCTGACGTCGGCAGGTCAACCGGTTGGTATCCTAGTTTTGACCACAGCCATGGATAGCATGGGATAGCATGGGTGTCCAAAAGCCACCTGTTGGAAGGTCCTGGAGGAGAGGGTCCTGCTTGATTGTTTGGGGGTTTGATAGAAGTTGCCATGGGGCCTCCTTGTGAAGTCCATGTTGTCCTTTTTTGCCAGACATGGGTGGTACCAGAGTACATCCACGTCTACCATCACTTACCCTGATCTCCTTGAGTTTCTCAGTCCTCCATCATCCCTGCATGGTCATGTGGTCATGACCTGTCCCACAGAAGCTGTCTACCTCCAGGCGGAAGCCGAGAAGAAGGCGGTCTTTCGTGCACCACAAGTGGTGTTCACCTTGCGGAGGGGGCCAGCAAAGGTTGAATAGGTTGAAGAGCCCGTGTTTATCCAAGGAACCCGGGTTGATGGCTTCTAGGGAGGCCCATCACGGGCGAACGGATGCCATTGACAAGGAACCACGGGCGTGATGATGGGCCCAGCACCGAAGAAGGGAACGTTCTCCCGACGGCATGCGATGCCCGGGAGAGGTTTGGCGTCGAAGGGGTCAGGGTGTGGTCATCAAGGGTGGAAGATGTACAGATTTACTCCCCTGCGTTATGAAATGGAACCTCAAAACCGTTGCTTCTGCAACCTCGTCGGATTGTGCGGAGGATGATCGTTTGCTGGTCATTGTGGGTCCATGCTCCATCCATGATCCCAAAGCCGCACGGGAGTATGCTCATCGATTGCAGGCGCCAACGTTGATCCAAGACCTTCCAAGACGTACGTTGAATTGGTTGTCGAGCAGGCTTTGCATCACTATCATAATCTATCATACTTGGTTCCATGTTGAACTCGTGAACGTTGTGAACTGTAGAGGAAAATGGTCTTCCATCGGTCCATTTTCAGGTTCCATGTTAGTTTGTGGGGGGTAGCATCGAGTCGGATCTTCGTGCGCCCTGGGATATGTGTGAGCGGTGTTTGATCAGGTCCCACTAGAGGTCACGGTCCATTCCACTGCTGTGGAGAAGTGTAGCCGGTAGCCGTGCACAGGTTCTTTCGGTGTGTCAAGATCGGGATGTGTTGGAAATGGGAGACCCCGAAAGCCCTGGGAAGATGACACGTAGATAGACTGAAATCTATCATAGATTTGGGGATTGGCCGATTTTAAACAAATATGCACGCCCTAACTTTAGGGCGCAACCCAACAACCACTGGTGGTGGGATAAGTTTGTTTGCTCCTCAATTTGGTGGTTCCCTCCCCTTGACCACGACGTTCACTTCCGTGGTCGACCACATGAGAGTGGTCTGCGACTCGGCCGGTGCAGCTGATTCTCAAAGTGCCACCTGGCACTCAAGTAGCTCGAACGATGAAGCGCCCGATGCAACGGAGCGAAAGTCAGCAGAGCCTTCACACTTTGAGACGGGATTCTTCAGGCAGCTGAGACAGGTGGGGGAAAAAACACAAGGCAGGCTGATTCTGGTTGAAACTGCAGGAGCTCAGCTCCACTTCCTTGAACTCCACTTCCTCCCACTTGCCAAAGCTCACCCAGCTACCGAAGCCCGAAGCCCCACCGAACCCGCCACGAACCACGCCGGTGGCCCCCGCGAGCGATGCACGAGATCCGATGGACCTGGTCCGATGCGAACCTGCTCAAGCGAGGCGAGGCGACATGGGAACGGTGAGGACGGTGAGGACGCTGCTGGCCCGTTACGGTGCTGGGGTGCTGGCCGCGGGTCGCGATGGGCGGAGCGCTGGACTCGGGGTCCGACGCATCGGAGATTGGTGTTGGCTGGAGGGAGTGATGGATGAGGCCGCACATAGCCGCACCATTTGTTCGAAGCGATACGAGGACTGCCCCGACGCGACCCTGGACCCTCATATATGTGGTCTGACGTCTCAATTCTAGGTGAGGGACCGTGTGCGCTGTTTCCTACGGAGCCTTCTGAGAGTGGTGCGTCCTTTGTCTCATGGTCTTTCTGATCACCCCACAGTGCTCAAAGCATCTCAGAGCTCCGGCGCCGGCCTGGTCGTTCGAGGCCTGGCCTCCGCTGGCCTGGCCTGGCACTGCTCGCGCTCCGCGGAGGAAGTGCTTCGGAAGTTGGAGCTCCTCGCGCCCGAAGCGAGTTCGGTTGGAATCGAACCGAGCCGGTGGGGTTCGGAAGCAGAGGGACGTGAAGTGAGATGCCTGAGATGCCCCCAGAAGCCCGAGGGTGCTAGATTATATAGAGTTCGGATCAGGCCGATTTGGTGGTGAGTTTCTGGGGTCTGAGTCTGATCCTGACGGAAACACGCTGGTCTCCTTTTTTTCAAGTGAGGTTGGGAGGGAAAATAGTTCTGTGTGCTACTGCCTGGAACCCCAAACAACCAGATACAAATGGTTGTTATAATATGGCAATTGAAATCCTATAGGAAATGGCTGGGACTGGGGAAACATCAATTCAATTTCTTTCTGATTGTTTGGGGTTCCAGGTGGGTATTTGCACACCAAAGCAATTGGATGCTCCAGGAACCGAGAGATGGTTCTTTGGGGCAGTGTTGAAATTGCAAAATACTGGGCCGAATGAGGCCCATGTGGCATGTGGTGCCCATGTGGTGCCTTGGTGCATGGATTGGAGTTGGTTTGAATGGATCCGAACCCCATCTTGAGGCATGAGACGTGTTTTTCTGAACTGAAGCTGCTTGGACGACGGACCGGGGAACATTTGCAAGACTTTGGGTGATACTTCCTTTGAACATCTGCAAGAGCACAACGTGGTCTTAGAGGTCAGACGGTCAGACGTCGGTTGCGGACCCATCTTTTCAGTCGGTGCGGCTTTGAAGGAGGTCAGGCGGAAAGCGGTCTGCAGGTGGGACGTTCAGACCGGGGTTCCACGAGAAACCCACCGCTCAGCGCCCCAGGAACCTCAAGCCCAAGGATCGCCGGAGGCCCTTGCGCTTTGACATCCATGAGAGTCTCGGACGGTGGAAGCAAGCGAGCCTTAAGAGAGGTGAGGAGCGCGGAACAACGGCCAACACGGAGGTTTTGGGGTGTTGGCTCTGAAAACCCAGCTTCCAAAACCGCCCACCGTTTCGGTGCGGGGGAGGCTGTGAAGAAATTTCCATGAGATCTTCCACTGGCGACCGGTGGAGACGGACCGATGGACCCACCACCAAGTGGAAACCACCGAGCTCCGACGGAACAGCTTGAAAGGGAAGTGAAGTCTCTCTCTCGGTGTTTCTCATCTTTCCACGTCACTCCAAGGTCACAGAGGTGAGGAGAAATCACTCCGGTGGGAGAACAGGGCACCATCGGTTGGACCGTGCAAAGGGGTCATTATCGGATTCTTTTTTTTGAACCAGGATGATTTCAGGAAGTGCAGAAGATCTTTGAGGTATTTGGTGTGGCTGTTTTCGTTTTGTACAAAAGCGCATACTGTTCGAATCAGCAGTTGAGCATGTTCGGTTGGACCATTGGCTGTCCCACAATGATGGCGCCCCTGAGTGCCCCATAGCACTTGGCATCATCATGGAAGCCCAGCGGAAAGAAGCAACCTTAGGAGATGTCTGTGGTCCTCCATTTTGGAGGATCATAGAAACCCACAGTTTCAAGAACAACCAATCCTTAGATTAATCATCACATGGTGCTGGCCTCATCTTGCAAGGAAAAAGTTCTCCTTCGCCAACCCTGCAGAAGCCATCGAATTCCTGCAGACCATGGTCGACGAAGAAACTCTGAAAGCACGACAAGTGCAGCTACAAAGGCCGCTCGGCTCATAGAAGGCTTTGCTATTGGTTGGTTGATTAATAGAGGGGATACCCCCAAGGGAACAACCATTAATAGGTATATATATATGGTACCGAATCGACCTCTCTTATTCCCAAAAGGACATCATTGCACCAGCAGGGAGGAGCTTGAAGGTGACTTCTTTTTGACTGCCAACCCTCCTGGAGTGTAGCGGAGGGAGGTGTTTGGGCAGACCCACCCTCGCCTCATAGCCTGTTGTGACTCCTCGAAGGTTCGACCGTTCGAGTGGTGTTCCCCTATCGCTAAATGGTGGGTACCTACTACCAGGGCAGTACCAGAAAGCCAACTGGCAAGCCAGAAAGTCACAGATTCAAAAAGCACCAGAGACTGCAAATCGACCCAATCGGCGGGCCTGCCAATCGAGTGATTCGCAAGTGGCCCTGTGGCCTTCTGGACACACCATTCGGATGCAGGGAAACCAATTAACGATAGGTAGGAGGGTGCGCTAGCTGAAGGAAAGGAGGCCAACCACATGTTTCTGGCATGAAAATGGTGCACATCGATCACCCACACGATGATATAGTGTTCATGGGCATTCGACCTGCTTCTTCTCCCCCTTTGTGGTGCCCCGCCTGGTGAGCCACATCACCAGGTCTCCGCCGCTGCCCGTCGAGAGCACCACGGCCACGCTGACCGCCGCGCCGGAAGCACCGGCCGCGGTGACCGCGCGCGCGGCGCGCCGCGGTGCGCGGGCGCGGTGCTGCGCAAGGGGCCACATGATAGCTCGGAAGGGAGAGGCCTTTGGGCTCTTCCAGGTGGGGAAGCTGTCTGTTGGGTCGTGGCTGTCGCAGGACATGACATGTACCTGCCAACACCCATACAATATCGGGATTCAAGGATCAAAGGGCTCAATCCCGGGGTTATGGGTGTTTTTTTTTGCCGTCAGTCATCAGTGCTTTTCGTGACGGTTACCAGTGACGGGTCATTATTTTCGTACCAGTCATTGGCATTTTTTTTAATGACGGTCAGGCGGTGTTCCAGAGTGAGTCAAAGGCACTGCTTGCCGGCTCACTCATGGTACTCGCTGGTACGTAGTCCCTGTTTCAGGGGTTGGTGCGGTTGTGGGTAGGAAGTTGTGCTTCTTGGGTTTGGTTGAGAGCTTATGCGCCAGTTTTGGGAGTTTGGGAGATTGGTGGGGTCTTGAGTCTTGGGCTTTAAGTGGTTGGCGCTTTGTGGTGGCTGGATGGTGCAGGTTCTATTGGCTCGGGAAGTATCCGGGTTTGGTTGTGGAGTTGTAGAGAGTTCTCATCTTCAGGCAGGGAGCAGTAGTTGCCGCATCTTCGTATGATGGATCCAGAACGAAGTGACAACTCGAGGGACAAACATTCAAGGAGGGCATTGGCACCAATCCAGATGCTGGATACACATCTCTCCAGATCACCGAAATTCGAGCATTGCGCATGGCCCTGACTCCATGACCCAACCCTCCACTTTGGATTCTCAAGGTTCAAGCACCGCTCAGTAGACATGAGTAGACCACGTCTGGTGGTTCTGTGAGGTTCAGCTCGGGATTTCACAGACAGGTAGGGGCTCTTTCTTTGGTTCAGGAGTTTAAACAACTAAACACTCTTCCCCACAGCCCATCCCGCGGCGATTCTCAATGATCCTCACTCCTATCCACCAACTCGGCAGGATAAGAAGATTTGTCACGCCTGCTGCACGACCTTTGGACCCGAGACCAGCTACTACCGTTGCATGCAAAACTGCAAGTACAACGTCTGTCACCACTGTCCCTCGCAGTGGGTTCCACCTTTGACGCACGAAAGGGGGACGTCCGTGGATGGATGGTGGATGAGCTGGTACAAAGGAAAGATCCAGCCCGCGAGTCTGAACTTGGGGCATGTAGACATCCAATGGATGACCTTCACCCCAATCTAAGAATTGTTGTTCCTTGAAAGTTGCCACTTCTTGGTTTTGTTTCTCGCTTTCTTGGAATGTGAATGTGCCTTTTGGCAGGTGTTTGTGGTGATATCTATTTTCTATTTGCAGTAGAGACATTGCTCCAAGAGCCAGTCTCTTCCAAAAATCAGGGGCAACTGGAGGTTTTGGGGTGATGAAAATGGACCAGATCCATTCTCACTCCATGGACGAAAAGTGGTAGGTTCAGACTCTATAGATCTGTTACTTACTGTTAGTTACTCTCCTTGGAACTACCACGGAAGTGGAGATCACTACTGTTTGGTAGTCGGAAAAAGACAGGTCTTCCGAACTCGGGGCACACTGCCATCTACTTCCCGCGTGAGTTCCAGAAAGTGCACCAGTTGCGGTGTACTGGGTTTCTTCGCCCAGTTGTGGGGCGCAAGCTGCTTCGTGCTTCGGCTTCCTGCGAGCTTTCCGGTGTCTTGAGGCTTCCAGGAGGCGCGACACAGTGAAGCGCAGCAGATGCTTGAGGCGGGGACGCCTGGGAAGCTCGGCCGGGTCTTGGTTGAAAGAATTTAGTGGCGATGGCCTCCAACCGAATAGCACTGGATGGACATGGTCTCAGAGTCACATGGATGGTCGGTCCAAGCTGCTGTGGAGCGTGTTTGTTTTTTTGGGGTCAGCGATGTTTTCTCCCTTTCGGCCATGACCATCCATGACCCACATCACAGCAATCTGATCCTATCTTCGACGCCCACTGTCCTGGAAGACTCATGTCCTCCCAGGTCTGTCGCCGCGTCGCCCATGGAATTTTGGGGGTTTCAGTGCTGGGGCGACGATACCAGTCCGGCTTGAGATACCAGCTTTTTGTTCTGCCGAGACCAGTTCGTGATTTGATAAGTTTTTCTTGCGTGACTTCTTGACGTGAAAGTCATACGAAGCTAATATAGAATGAACGAAGTCCTGAATTTGGGAATTTTGGATATATATATATAAATAAGTTTGAAAAAACATCCAAATTCATTTATAACATATTCTAAAATGAACGAAATCCTGATATGAACCAACATTTGGTCTTGAAATAAGTTTGGGACCCAAACTGGTTGGACTCCCCAGCTGGACACCACTTCTTGGCGGAGTCTCCACCCCGGACCGCCGGCGCCCGCAGGGCCAGAGTGAGCCAAGCTGCCAGGAAAGCCATAGTGATGTGGAAAGCGTGCTGGAATTTGAGGTGGGAGCAGGTAAGAAGACCTGGTGATATCATGGTGCTGCTGGTCAGTAGATGTATATATCTATATAGATATAAGTAGCAATGCAGGAAGAACAAGGATGTCCAATCAAAGCTGCTATTCGTAGCTATGCGCTGGCCAGCGTCCACAGTGGCTGAAGTATCACCCCCCAAATCAAAAATGAGAAGCACTTAGCAACCCAAATCATCAGTTTCCAACTTCTGCTTCCCATCAGCTCCATGTTGGCTTCCCAAAACTCCCCAGCCCAAGCCCGACCCCTCTCCATCCCATGGATGTCCTTTGACGGGATGGGGAGGGAGACCCCCCTGGCCTTGGCTGGGGTAGACGGGTTTGTTTCTCTTCCAGAACATCGTTGCCTGGGAGGTCTCTCTGATACACACCCATCATCACCCATATGTGACTCTGGACCAGCCTTGCTTACCAGGTATAGACACCCAGATGCATTTGTTCCGTTCGTAGCGAACATTGTTTCTAATAGCAAATATTGTTACTAGTAAGGCACTTGTTACTAGAAGCGATGCACTTGTTCCGTTCGTAGCGAACACCCTCGGTTTCTCGGGGCGCTCGCCCGCCGGAGGTCCATGGAGGTCTCCGCTCGGAGCTGTGGCCCTTCGCGGAGTCGCGGTCACGTCCCTTTGCGGCGCAGCTGGAAGAGCTGGCCGAGGTCTTTGAGGCTGGAAGGAGGGGAACAGGGGAACAGGAGGAGAGGAAGTGCCACGGACCGGGGCGTTGGGGGAAGAACCTGTTTCCTTTTTTTTTTGGTGTTGCTTGATGTTGCTTGATGCTGGTGAGCAAGAGCTTTCTATCGAAGCTATTGGAACAAGAAGCTGTTGTTGCTAGATCTGAAAAACTCGGGCCACTTCTGCTGGGCTCTTCAGTGTCACAACAAAGGAGACCTTGGTCACTTCTGATTCTTCCTCTTTGCGGGGGGCAACATCTGGCAGATGGTTTAAATTAGACCTGTTAAGCCTTAGACCGTTTTCTAAACGTAAGTCATTGATTCATATCGATTCTGCATTCTCCGGTTTTCCTCTTCCCCCGTCGCCTCCCGTCTGCCGCCTGAATGGACCCACCGCCTCCCCGATTCGTTCCTCGACCCCGAACGATATCAGGTGCCCCACGGAGTGCTGCTCCATAGCCAGGGCTCGGAGGTGGAAGTGATCCAGTCCATCTTGCAACTCCAGGCCTGACGTAAACCCGGCGTTCCAGGCGGCACGCGCGCGCACGCGCGCGAAGGGGTGGGGTGATGAGATTTGAAGAGAGAAAGGCTTATTTTTGGGCCTCTTGGTTTGTGAGAGCTGGGGTATGCATGGTCTCCTTGGAATTCTGGGAATTCAAGGGACTATTGGATGTTTAGAATGCAAAGGAACAATGAAGAAGAGCCCTCCTTCTAAATAGGTTCGTGGCCAGCAAGAAGCTTTGTCAGCATCTCACTCATACCAATCCCCCCTTTGGAGTGAAACATTTTGACATTTTTTTGCTTATGCATTACAGGAGAACATATCAAGATGATCTTCCATGTCCTTGTCAGGCAAGACATAGCCTTTGCACTATCCTGTTCTTTTGATCTGCTTTCCATTTGTATCTCCTTTCAGGCCCTACCCCGCACCGCTTCGCTGGCACTGGAAGCACCCCAGCAGCTGCTTCAGCAGCTGCTGGGGCAGATGAGCAGCAGCCCTGACGCGCTCAGGCACATTGGAAGGATGTGCTTTTTGTGGTCGGAGGTTGGCTGGTGCCTCCAAATGTAGAATAAAACCGATAGGAAACGGTCTCCAAGAATCCACTTTTCGAGGAAGCTTTTCGATGTTTTGAGGTGGTCACAAGGCAGTTTTCAGTCCATGTTTTGTTTTGGATTGATGCCCAAACTGGCGGGAACCCTCAAATAAACCAGCAGCCATCAGCCATCACCAAAGGGTTCTGATAGTTCTGATGTATTTGCCAGCGGGCGAAGCCGCGTGTATCGTGACCCCACTCATGGGATGGAACCACTCACGAAAGCATTGGGCACTCACATGGCAGCAAGTCCTTTTCTTCGAACCGAAGATAGACTGAGACGAAAGGCCGAGATTGACACCTTTCTGTGTTTTTCAATCGGCCAAAGCAAACACATAAGTGGGAATCATACCTTGTGTTAGAGTTTTTCACTTGGCCCACACCCCAAATGGTACTTGCAGGCCATGGATTACAGCAGTCTTATGCCAGTCTTATAGCAGTGATTCAGGACTCACTCACGACAAAGCCGCCAGCTCCACATCCAATTCCATGGTGGTTTACACTCCTAAGCCCTTCCCTGACATGATCATGGAAGTGGAATGCACCCTTCCAGGGCCTCTTTTCCACTTCTAAGCACTTCTATGTTAGTGAGTCAGAGTGCAACCTCCTTTTCCCCTTAGTGGAGAGTGCTTTCATTGAGCGCCCCCATCTTTTGCGCTTGCGCGCGCCTCATGGCCCACGCGTGTTAACCGTGTCCCATGTTGTGCTTCTCCTGTATCTCGACAGGATCGCTTGGGGTGATTCAGACATGTGGGGAGTACAAAGGCCTGCAGGAGCCTGGCTGCAGTTGCATTTGTTTCCCCATCACCACGGTGAAACAGGTCTCCCTGGCAGTGCAGCAGCATGTGTGCAAGACAGACTGCAAGACCCAAGACAGCGTCACAGTGAGAGTCATGACAGCTGTGCAATACCAGATCCGAAGGGACCTGGTGAAGGCTGCATGTTTTGACATTGAGAGTCCACTTTCGCAAATTGAAGCTGAAGTCGATAGTGTCCTTCGCACAACTCTTCCTGGCATGACCTTGGATGAGAGCTACCAGGCAAAGGAGAAGATGGTGGAACTGATCTTGGCATCTGTGCAGGAGGCCATGAAGAGATATGGCTATGACATCATCAAGGACAGACTTTTGACATATTTCCTCATTTTTTCTTTTTTTAAACTTCTTGGCTATCATGTACATATTTGACACATGTGGTCTGCAGAAGTTTGATGTTCGCTGCTAGGTGCTGATTACTGACATCAAACCCGAAGGGTCAGTCTTGGCTGCCATGAACAATATCATTGCCCAAAGACGGCGGAGAGAAGCTGCAGTTGAGAAGGGTGAAGCCGAGAAGTTTCTGAAGGTCAAAGCAGCAGAAGCAGAAGCTGAAGCCAAGCGGCTGGCAGGTGTAGGCATGGCTGGCATGCGTCTTGCAACAGCCCATGGTCTTCTTAATGCCATGCAGTTTTTCAAGGACACTGGCATGACAAACATTGAAGCCATGCAGATGATGATCACCACGCAATATTTGGACACTTTGAAGGACTTCTCCCGCCATACCTCTGTTGTGGTGCCGCATGTCCATGCGACTGGGACGGGGGAGAGCCAGGCGCAGCGTGAGGCTTCCCTTTCTGAAGCACCCCAGCAAATGCTGGATATGCAAGACGAGGGAGCCCTGTGTCAAGCCCCCGAACCACCCTGGGAAATGGAAGATGGAGAGAGGCTTCCAAATAGCGGAACGTCCGGGAAGACAGGAAAGACAGTGAGGAAGAAGAAAAGGAAAGTGAAAAAAGGAACTGCACTTTGTGACTGTGGAGAAAATCAAGAAAATCAGCTTTAGAGAACACCCAGGAACACCGATCTCGGTGGATCTCGAAGGATCGGACAGCCACTCCCAAGGAGTCGCCGTCGGCGGAGCGAACACAAAAAGGGTCTTCGTCTTGCATGGAAAGGGGACGAGGCCCAAGCGCATTTGCTTGGCCACCTTAGACGCCTTTTAGGAATCCCATACACAATCATGCACATCTTAAGATCTTAGGCTAACTGATTCTTTCCGGAGCTGACACCCTGAATTCACAAGGGTTTAGGGTATGTATATATTATACATAAATCTATATAAATATATCAAACGATGCAGACTCAAGTTAGACCTTCGTTTGTAACACGTGATGATGTGTTCTGCACTTTCTTTGGGTTTCACTTCATCTTTCACAAGAGCCCATACCTGGATTCTGTCGATTCAACCCTTACATTTGACTTTCGGTAGTTTTCCCCCTTGGTGGTCCGAATCTTTGCCAAATCGCACCACACAGCAATTTCCACCTTGCAATTGAGTTCCCATAGTTCACCTTCCTTCAACGAAGCTAACGAAGCTGGCATTTTGGAAGATGAAGTACGACGACAGACTTTGGTCGACGCTGTCGAACAAAAACAGCGGTCTTGAGATTTTGTTCGACGGACTACAGACTCTGTGATTTGATATGACTAAGGAGCCGCGCTCTCCTCGTTTCTTGACCTCAAACAGCCAGTACTGTAAGTGCAGGGTCATCCAGCATGCGTCGTCGCCGAACCCACCGGGTTGCTGTCCGCGCGTACGGTGCGTCACAATTCTTCAGGCATTTGGTGTCAATCCTGTCTCTCAGCCGCCGAATGGGAGGAGATTAGCTGAATGCGTCTGAATGAAGGAGTCCAACTTCCAGTTCAGAAGCTCCCTTCTAGTTCAGGCAGCTTCTCAAATATCACTGATGTAGAATCATCCTTCAGAAATTTGTCTGACGTGTGAACTTTGCAGAACTAAGTCCAGATGATGCTATAGGACTACTATGTCTGTGACTGACCGATCGGGCTTCAACAGTTGAAGATCCTGATTCACCTCTCAGGTCTTTCTCAGTATTTCTGGTGTCCGTGCTACTTCCCTCGAACCCGGTTGGCTCTCCCACCCCTCGAACCAGTTCCTTTGGGACCACGACTTAGTGCTTGACTGCAGCGGGACTTGTGCTGAAAACATGTCCCTTAGCACCGTAGCTGTAGTGGATACAGAGGGAAGTAATGACAGGACGATTTTGTGTTCTGAGGACATCAAGAATATGCTAAATAACAGAAGACACATAAGAGATACACAACAAGGTAAGGGTTCATAAAACCCCCGGTATGGGGTAAGTCTTAAGACATCTTAAGACCCTTTCGTTCCTTTTTACCTCTTGTGGACTTCTAAAAGGATCTATTTTAAATAGATCTTTTTAGAAGAAGTCCACAAGAGGTAAAACAATTTTTGAGAGGCTTCTAGGCTAGAGGATCCCTATGAAGAGCCTTTCGAACGTCCGCCAGTCAGACCTGTTCAGAAGACAGTCAGACCGCCACCCGGTTCCAACAGGTCCTTGTGGTACCAAACAGATCCAAACAGCAAGTTTCTCACAATATGTACATTCCCAGGAATAATCATGGAAGTGGAAAATGGCCCACGCTGTCCTCTACTGGTACATACCAACAGGTCGTTTTCCACTTCCCGGACTCTTTCAGGGAGTTTCTTTGGGCCGTGAAAATGGGATTGATTGATTTGTGCATCGAGATCCCGGATCATCCGCAGGGATGTTCACCAGCTCCAGTCTGGCTAGTTCTGGACGCCGGTAGGTCACTGTGGAGGCTGATTGAGCTCTCTATAGAATCTAGTTTTATTGGATTTGGTCATACAAAAAGCACTAAATCCAATGAAGAGGTCTTTGAAGAGGTCTTTGCTCCAAAAGCACTGGATTTGAAGAGGTCTTTGCTCCAAGTCGCTCTGGCTGTACACCGGACACCACACCGGACCGGACACCGGTCTGTCACCGAGGTGTGCCACCGAGGCGCTGGCGGCGGAAGCCTTTCGCCAGGTGCGAAGGGCCGAGGGCTGAGGGGCCCTGGGACGCTCAGGGAGAGAGCCAATTGAGGAGCCCAGGTCAGTGTGGAATTCCTCGTCAGGCAGTGCCTGCCACGCCCTCGGCGGTGTTTTGGAGCAGACAAGTCATGTTCTTCACCAGTGAAACCTGCAACGTCGAACAGGGCAATCAGGGGCTTCAAAAGCACTGGCCCTGTGTTGAAGAGAGATTGTGACTGTGAAGTGCGGTGGGGATTTGTTTGTATGAGCAGGAATGCCCATTTCTCACCACAAGGAGACTCTATACACAAACTTTACTACGGATTGGCTGATGCGCATAAGTCACATATTCATAAATGAATAAAACAATAAACAAATAACATATATATATATATAATATACATAAACAGCTGTAGCAAAACCCTCCAAGAAAAGTGGCCCCTGTCGCAAGTTGTCTTCGGTAAACGATCCGTGTCCAGGGCCTCCTGGGCTTTCTGGCTGAGAAAAAGGTCCCCAGGTAAAAGTTCGATATTCCCCAAGGCGAGTGAACACTGCATCACTGATACCGAACCAACAAAACCTGCTACTTGTACTTGTACTTGTAGTAGTAGTAGCAGCAGGAGTAGTAGTAGTAGTAGCAGTAGTAGTAGTGGTGGTAGTAGTAGTACGTAGTGGTAGTAGTAGTAGTAGTAGTCGTAGTCGTAGTCGTAGTAGTAGTAGCAGTAGTGGTGGTAGTAAGTAAGTAAGTAAGTAAGCAAGCAAGCAAGCAAGCAAGCAAGCAAGCAAGCAAGCAAGCAAGTAAATAAGTAAGTAAGTAAGGAAGCAAGCAAGCAAGCAGGCAAGGAAGGAAGGAAGTAAGTAAGTAAGTAAGTAGTAGTATCCCCCCCTTATGAGTGTAATTTCTGAGGGGGCTGTGAACTTTCTTACGCTGGGTGGTCCGAAACACCAGGTTGACGCTTGGCTGGGCTCAAAGCACGGGGGGGAGGTGCTTTGTTTCACCACACTAACCACTACATATCACAGCTAAACCATGCCAAACTTTCAAACACAGCTAGTAAGGAAGAAAGAGGCCAGGTTGGCAAGACAAGAGCTTGAATGGAGAAACATGTGGGAACCCAAGTGTTTCGAACTTTCAGACTACAGCGACATGATGTGACATGCACATACATGCACCATTCATGACATGCAGTGACAGTCTTTCGAGATGCTTTCATCCGAAGCCATGGCGGCTGCCCCACAGTGGTGTACAGTGGGCACTTGCACCACGGCTCATGTCTCGGTTGGGGTGAGCTCTGAAAGGTTTGGTGATGCCTTGTGGGGTGGACGCCGGTGGCGCAGCCAGGTGGTGTTTTTTTTTTGTGGCGGTCCCGCGCGCTCCATGATGTCCCATGCGCCACACTTTGGTCTGACTTACATATATTATCAAAGATTGGAACAGGCTGATTGGCCCCGAGTTTTTGGCCTTGAGTCCCCACAGTCGTCATTGTGTTCACCTGCCACATCTCAGGCTAGTCGTCATTGTGTTCACCTGCCACATCTCAGGCTTGGAGCAAATGATAGCCCCAACGTTTTCACTTCTACCTGCAATCCTTGGATGTTTTGTGCAAAGATGTGCAAAGTTCTTATATGATCCGTTATGTGCTCGTAGAACTGTAAGGTTAAAGCCAATGGCTGGAAAATGCCAGAGATACATGAGTTGCACCAATGGTCTACAATGTTGCTCTGCATCTAAGGAAATGCGGAAAGGATCCCGGCCATCGCATCATGTCGCCGTCCTGTTTTTGGAGCCGTGAGACACTGTGGGACACTATGGAATACCCAGAGACAAACTCACAATATCTCACAATCCTGCAATGGGAGATGGCAGGACTTGCGATCAAATTTTGACAATAGCGTACCACACAAGAAATGAAGCCAGCGTTAATACATGCTGATTCATGCGCTGTTTGCATAGATTAGCAAATGTGTTTTCTTCAGCCGTTGCCGTCGCCACACCATTATTAGCCAAGTTGTGATGGCCACTGGCACCACACAACCTGCCTGACCGAAAAACTCCGCTTATTGCAGAGGGCGGGCCGGGCATTTTTGTGAAATCCAGGTGGCTTTCATGGCTGTTTGCTGTTTCATGCCTGCAGAGTGAGGCATATAGTGTGGAAACGCAATATACATAATTAACGTTGGAATATGCTGGGAGCAGTGCTGGGGGCCTTTCAAGATACTATATTGGCTTTGTTTATGTGGGAAAAGGAGCAAGTCGGTGTCTGGGTGTGGGCCCATGTCATCCCATCCATTCTTGCCAGGGTCTAATGGTGGACATTGGACACAGTGGCCACAAGCAGGACTGGGAGTTGATTGGATTTGGATGCAACCGCCTGGACTCCCCCTAGATTGGTTAGAGCATGTTGGAGCACGAGCTAGATCAGTTTGGCCATGTTTGGCCTTGAATGCAACTTGACTTGGGTTGGTGCTTTCATGGCCTGGACCACCCATGTGCCATGCTTTCTGTTCTCAGCGTTCGAAGATGATTTAGTAGCCATATGATGCCCACATGCTGCATATCGGGTCCCTACTCAGGGTGGCGTGCCTGGGTCGTTTCTGACTGGTTGATACTAGTTAGTCGCACGTTTTTCCGTTTGTCTCGATCCGTACGTTGTGTCCAGCTTTGTCTGGTTATGTCTGCTTGCCGGGGTCGGTTGGAATTGGCCTGATTAACCTGTGTCTTGTATTGTCAGTTTGTTGTAACATGCTGTAACATGGCAACATGCTGACGTGGCGGGGTGGTGACAAGACACATGCACATGGTAGTGGCCCAACCAGCCCACGCTTGAACAGATCTTCACATTGCTTCCTAGGGCCGAACCATCGACAGTGAGCATCATCTCGAACATCTTGATCAGGCGGGTTGTTCTAGGTTTCCAAAAAGCAGCTGCGCCCCAATTACACCGGCATAGACCCCAGATAGGAACTACTGTGCAAGAATGACTTTCCCGGTTGTTTTGGAACAATGCCCAAGAATGCGCATTCGCTGAACCTGTTTGGCCGGCGACGCACAAGCAATGCAACTGCATCAGTCAAGGGTGCAAATAAGAGGAAACAAAACGCCGGTCACATCTGGCGAACAAGTGAGAACAGAGTAGGGCAGAGGAGACAAGAAAAGATGGACCAAAATGATCAGCCGCCCAGTCGAAAAGTGAAAGCCCCTTTTGTTTTCAGCTATTCTCCTGGAGACAAGTGGGGAGAGAAAGGAGGAGACAAGGCGCAGCAGCAGACAAAACGCCGATCATGGGCAGACAAGTGAGACAAGTACGAGTGGGGAGACTGATGGCAGCGTTGGGCCAAACCGCCAACTAATCACCCATTCATTGAGACATTGAGAAGTAATAGCCGAAACTGTGAACAGAAACAGTTTGTGGCACACTTTCTAGTTTGGTGGTGCTAACAAGTTCTAACAAGGTGAAAATCAGATCCATGGGGCAAGTGTAAGTGTCAGCAAACCTCATTCGCCAAACCTTTGCACCAGGAAATGATGGAGGAGAAGCGCTGAGGTCCAAACTTCATTCTGTCAGGTGCTTTGCTCACATGGTGTCGAAAAGGCATCGCCTGTGTTGCCACTCGTATCTTAGGCGTTTCAGAAGTGCCTGTCGATTATGGAATCATTCTTACCAACAAACTTCAACATGTCGTGTAGCTGCAATATGCTGCAATCATTTCAGCGAATATTGTGACATGCTCCAAAGGGAAGGGCAGATAAAAGGCTTGGCGCACTGCTGGAGAACGCTGAAGACACTCCATGACACTCCCGGGGTAGTGCGGGAGCTGCGCACAGGCAAGACAGACAGATCCACAGAGAGCTTGACGCGCAGAGAAAATTGGCCGCTGTGCTCGCAGCTCCTGCAATGGGGCGGTCGCCATCGCTCGCCTACTCAGAGCAGCTGGAGAGAAAATGACGGGTGTGACGGAGTCTGCGCCCCCCCATAAACTTGAAATTTCAGAGGAGGAACCTACCCCCTTGACGGGTGGGTGGATGTAGTAGTAGTAGTAGTAGTAGTAGTAGTAGTAGTAGTAAGAAGTAGTAGTAGTAAGAAGTAGTAGTAGTAAGAAGTAGTAGTAGTAGTAGTAGTAGTAGTAGTGCCAGTGGTTGTTGTTGTTGTTGTTGTCGTCCACGCTCTAGCTTATCCCTTTAACTTTAGGGTGGGGACTGAACCCGGGTCATAGCCACTAGAGCATGCCGGCGTTCGGTCACTCATGTCATTCTCTTGAAAACCACCAAGAAGATTCTGACAAGTATTTCTAATTGTATCAATCACCCTCGCAAAACAGATTCTTTTAATAATGTATATATACCGTGGAACGCTCAGACAGTGAACGAATCGTACCATGTAATACGTAAGAAACTGCGCAAAAAGTACGCATCGACCACCACTGCTTTTCTCCAGGGCGCCTTGCCCGCGCTCGTGGCGCAGCTCTGCTGTAGCACGGAGCGTGCAACGTCCACCGCGAGCGCAACCGGACCGGGTACACCGGTTGCGCGCTAGAGCGCAGGGGGGGGGGTCCGGTGGATGTGGAGAGAGTATGAGAGAGTCTGGTTTGTGATGGTTTGGGCGGTTTTTGGGTGTACAATGATAACGGGAATTGGAGGACATTGTGGGAAGACATGAACCCGGCAAAACCCAGCAGACTTGAATACATGTTGCATCATGTTGCATAAGTTTTGAGTGTCTAGATCCTTAAGTCAGCTGTTTGGCATGTGAAGATCTTGCACCCGCAGGACTTTGTGCCCTTTTGAGGCCTACGCGCAAAGAGGCGGGTGGAGGAAGAGGAAGAGGTTCCCACAGAAGCTTCAACATACCAAGACCGTTCCAAGGTTTGAGTTCTGCAGGTCGTAACCATCCGTTTGTGCGCAAGCTTGCATACAGACCTGGTTTGAGTGACAAGTGACCCGGTTTGAGTGACCCGGTTCGACCGTTCGGTTGGTGGATGTCGATGGTTCGAGGGTTGGGAAGATGAACGGATTTTTTGCGCACCGATGTTTTTTGAAGCATCCTTCATAGGTCATGGGTGCCTTTAGCTTCACATATGCAAAAAACAAAATCTGCCCAACGCCCAGGCTTCAAGATGAACTTCATGTCGTGACATCCATGTTCAGTTTCTATGTCAGTTGTTTGTCAAACTCTTTGACAGCTAAAGGCAAACATTTTCGGATGTTTTTGTTTTTTGTTGCTTTCTACAACAACATCCTTCTGCACCTTTTTCTTGTAGCATCCTTTGATGTGGATCACCCAAACCGCAGTGGTGGGGAAGGTGGTGCCAAACGAGCCAGGAGGCCAAGGAGCAACTGGAGCAGCTTTGGAGTGAGCATGGTGTGGAGCCCGAGTGGCGGGACATCGCTGCAGAGTCACCCCAAAAAGGTGACCAAAAGCAGAGTGAAGCGGATCCGAGACACTTCTATGCTTGTTCAACGACCCCAGGACTCACATCAAACCTGAAGGCTTGACGCCTGGAAAAGAATTCTTTGTCTCAGGTCAACATGATCACGTCTTCAGGCTCTTCTGCTGGGAGCCTTCTGCTTCGGGGAGGTGGTTTAACCCCTTTGGTTCTGCCCTTCCGAAACTCCCCCCGTTGCTGCTACGTCCCTTCCGCCCCCAAATGCGCCCCACGCTCCGAGGCGATGCCTTGCTGCGACGCTTGACGCGGCCAGGCGTCGGCAAGGCCGAGACGGCCCTGCTGCTGTGGCTCGTGGAGGCGCGCGCTCCACGCGGGCGCTCACCACCGCGGTGCGACGGTGGGGCGGTTGTGGGACGTTGGCATTTCTTTTTTCCGAGAAAAGACATCGTGTCTTGAGAACATCTCGATAAGCATCTCTGAGCTGGATGTTGTTTGGAAAACAACCGAACGTCGATTCGAAGATGACAGACATCACAGCCCTTAGTAGCCTGTAGGCATTTGTTTTTGGAGTGTGAACAGCTGCATCCTCAAGATCTTCATGGTGTGTGTGTGTGACTTGACTAGCTCGACTGTTGGATTCTGCTGTCATGTGAACAAGTGTACCAACCAATGATGAGGAGAGCTGATGCGCTTTCGTAGGACCAAATATCAGGGACACATCCTTTCAAACACCAACACCTCCAACTTGAGCCCTTGGGTCTGATGCTTAGTAGGGGTGATATTAAGCCACAGACACAGATACAATTAGATACATATGGGCAGGTCCTTTTTTGTGACGACAGGTGGCTTCTACTCGGCCCTGCTAGCCAGCTTCTCAACCCTTTGAAGCGACTCAGCGCGTGTTTGATGCCAACCCGTTCCCAATCCGATGCGTTCAAACCGAATCTGCGGAAGAACCACCGGCCCATCGCACCCTTTTCGACCCGTCGACCCACATGGAAGACCTGAGTCACATGGAAGACCGATGGGATGAGCCCAATTGAGCGACCCATAGCTATTTGCTAATTAGTAGCGATGCACCTGTTACTAGTAACAAGAAGTGACTAGTAGCGATGGACTTGTTCCTAGCAGGGATGCACTTAGTGACTAGGGTTTCTCCAGAATTTCTCTCCTTTTCTCAGGCGTTTTCGAGCACTTCGCACAGCCATGGGCAGCACAGTTTGTCGCCACAAAGTCGCTCGGTTTGCAGGAGCTCGAGCTCGCTTCGGAGACCTTCAGGGCTTTGCAGGAAGGCCGGACCCTCGCCGTTGATTCGCAGCCGGCGTTAGCGGTTCTTGGCGCCCCCCCCCCCAACAGGTTTGGGGGTACACTGGTCGGACCATCGGTACCTGAACAAATCCTTGATTTCTTGAGAGGAAGGACACGCTTTGCTGTGGTTTGGGGGTTGGCCAGAAACGGTGGGTTTCCGCTGCTGCATTCAGCGAGAGGGCGCTGGTGCCACCAGGGTCGTCGACCTACCTCAAGTGGCGAAGTGACCCGAAGCAGAGACATGGCTGGAGGTCAAAACCGGAGGACCCTGGTGGACCACAGAACATGAACAGAATAGACGACCGGGTTTCGGTCCACCTACCAGGGAGAGTTCCGGGGCTCCGGATGCCATGAGCCACCATATGTCCGGAGGGTCGGGTTTTAAAGTTGGGCGGTCGATCTCGAGGAGGACATCTCTGGCTACATCATCATGTCACTTCGGTGCAGTTCACAAAAATATACACCACCAGCCATTGGCCATAAACTTAAACCCTCCCGGAAACATGACGCGCACTGGCGCCGATGGTGCTGATTGCGGCACGTGGGACGCCTCGCCGACGGACCTGGACGGACCCTGACGGACCGTTGGCCCGAACCAGGGGACAGCGGCAGCCCCAGTGCAGCGGAAGAGGTTTGGGGGGGAAGGACACACCGGTCGTTGTGGGGCAAGGACGCCTGACGACGGAACGAGCCATGAAACACCAACTGTACAACAGTACGGCATCTTAAACAAAGAACAAACCTCTTCCTCTTGCGATTGCCAAAGACTCTGTCCGCGGCCGCTCAAAGAATACACGAAGAAAATACAAGAACCATGGAGAATACACAGTTTCCTTTTTGGTTCAAGTATATACTTGGACCCATTTTTTGTTCGTACCCTAGAACATGGCACCTGAATCCCATGGTACGGGTACAGTTTTGTGCACAGGGTCCGAGGGAGGTCCAGGTCGACTCCAGGTATGGGTGGAACAAACCATGTGGCTGGAGATCCTTTCCTTTTGGACTTCAGATGGAGATGTGCTGAATCTGAATCCCACTTGCGGTCAGGATCACGTGTGAAGGATTGGCTGAACAGGGGTGTCAAAGGCATACCTGACCTGTCGAGTCCAGAAGAGATTGAGCTTGCCCTTTTTTTTTTTAAGGAGCTGCCGTCATCCTCCAGTGGGATTTGATACTGGGTGAATGGATGGGAAGGGTGGATCCACCGCTGACGTTTAGAGGTCAAAACATGGGCTGACACACGAACTGGGCTGCTGGGACTCGCCATCCGGCTGTGTGAATCGAACCCAACGACGCTCATGCAATGCAACCGTCCAGTCCTCATGCGATCTTGGCGATCGAACAAGGAGCGAGTCCATCGCTCTGAACCCCGTTTTCTTTTCGGAGAGGAAGCGCCAGTGGCGCGCTTTGCACTCTTCACATAGGAGACCCAGACACGACCTGTTTGGGACTGGAATCAATGCCTGCATTGACCTGTTCAACAACCACCAAATTTATGTAACATTATGTACAGTAAATATACTAGACATTCAGTGTCTGGGATATACAACTTCTTTGGATAGGACCATCCTGAAAGTTCACAGTCTCTCCTGCCGTTCCTAGTTGACCCAAGCTCCGGCCAAGCTTGTGCGCAGGGGGAGCGAGAGGGCCCTTCCTCCGGTTTGCAGGAGCATATCAGAGCTGAGATGGCTTCATTTGCGACACCATGTGAAAAACAACCAGATGGGCATGTGAAAACCTGTTCCATTGGCAAGTAGCTGTCTCTTCAGACCAATTCCCGTTGGAATGTTCTCCATCTCGATGGATCCAGGGGCGACGCACCCTGCTTCATCCTGCTTCGGCCGAAGGGAACTCCGCAGTCGGAACGTGAAACGGACGGCGCACGCGAGTCGCGGCAGATGGGAAGGTGATCAGACCGAAGACCAGGATCTATGAGGACCCACGAATCCCAAACCGGGTGGACCTTCTTCAGGTGTAGACTATGCATATCTACGTCATACAAATCAAGTGGTATGGGGCGTTTTGAGCATCGTGTTTTGTTTTTATTTTTTTTAGTTTTGGTGGGGAGAAAAAGGTGAATGATGTGCGAAAGGGGCTCTCCTCTCGACATGTGAAAGAGGCCCCTGGCGCCGGCAGGAGCAGGAGATGGGGAGAGATGTGCTTGAGCTTCTTCGAGCAGCTGGGCTTCAGCGCAGACCACCCCAAAAAGAAGTGCCCAGGTAGGGCAAAACGATTGATTCTGTGTACTGCAAGTGAAGACTCTTAGCTTGAGTGCTAAAGACAGGTTCTGCCAAATTGTGACAAGGAGTTAAGAAGGGAGGGCATTTCAAGCCACACTAGGAAGCAGGGTTTCAACATGGGTGCAGTGAATGGTGAGTGGAAACGCTTTGAATCGTTGGATTTCCTATTTTTTTGGCTTCAATGAGTTTCAAAGTTGTAGTGGAGATGACGCAGTCACTCCATGCTTGGTCATTCAAAGACCTCAGAAATTGAACTTATTGTAACATTGTAACTGCCTATAGTGTTTGAGCGTTGGCCTTGACCATTTAGGGCCCAGCACTCTAAAGGGGCCACCTGGGACAAGAACCCTGGCGATACCTGGCGTCCGGTGAAAAAGGTTCCACGACCCCCCCTTGCTCTCTCTCTCTCTGTCTCTCTCTCTTTGTGGATGCGACGGAGTGCTACTGCAAGACTTGAGGAATGCTTCCAGGGCCCTGACACTACGTAGGACGTGCGTCCGAGGAGTTCGATCTTCTGCAACTGACTTCATCGAAGTTTAGGTTGGAGGCCATCGCTGGAGCTTCGCTTCATGCAAACTTTGAAGGGCAAGCGCGCACCTTACGGTGTTTTTTATTTGGGTGTTCCCTACCATTGCCTTTGAGCCAACCAACTGATCTTCCAGGTCTTGGAGAGGAAACTCAGAGGAGCATCCATTTTGGACAAGCAACATCCCATGTTCACAGATGTTCACAGCATCCATTTTTTTGGGGGGCTCCAAAAAGACACCTCGCAACAACTGAATGCCGTCCACTCCGAACTGTGCCGTTCCCGACCGTCCGGGTGCTCCCCTCCAAAAGCGCTTTCGTCTTCGCCCGGTCGGCGAGTCGGATCTGCCGTCGGGGTGTTGGGACGGGCTGCCCCAGGGGGGAACGGCAGCGACCCAAGGAGAGCTGTGCCGTTCCGTGCAGCGAAGCTCAGCAGTTGCAACGTGGGAAGCAGCTCAAGGAGCAACGCCGAGGGAATCGGAGTCCGCTGACGCGTTCTTTTGGAGCGGCGACGAGAAAGAGAGCGGCCCTGGAAGGAAACGGCCCTGGATGTTATTTGGTTTCGGATGCATAAAAGAATATAAAAGAGAAGTTAATATATGACACATAAGTTGAATCACGCTGGATGTGGATGTAGTTGAAAGCTTCTTCAACCGGCTCAACTTCTCCACCCTGACCCAGGAGGCGAAGCTCTTCGCGGAGCGACTGCAGCGCACGGTGCGGCGGCAACACCGGGCGTTGAAAGCCATGGTGCCCCTGGTGAAGCTGCAAGATGTGGAGCTGGAGAGAAGGGATGGGGCGGGGGTGGAGGTCAAGGAGCAAGTCAGCAGGTCGATGTCGAATGATGTAGGTTCATAGATGGAAGAGATACTCTCCTGGAACCAAAAAATGGACGTGGAAAAAACACCACCTGTTTGGTCATTTGGTCTTCCGAAAATGGTTTTCTTTTCGGGACCATGCCATCCACTTCCAGTTCCTTGGAGGTCTTAGGTCTTTATGAAGCTCACAAGAGCTGCTGGAGAGGGTGCTATGCAGGCAAACCGTGTTGGACTGATTTGGGGTTAACTGGCTGGCTTGATTTGCCAGGCAGTTTGATGCGTTTGGCTTCTCAATTCTTATATCAGAGGGTGCTGACGGAGGTTGGTTGATTTGTGTTGAAAGAAGACGAGGATGTGGGATGGATGTGGGGACCGGACGGTGTTGATGGTGGATGATTTGAGTGGTGCTTTGATTTGGTGTGAGGTCGGGATTGCGATGAATGTTCAGAAACAGGTGGGGAATTTTCAAGAAGGTTGGACATTGGGTCGATTGCATTCCGAGAGCTGATAAAGAAAGATCTATGACGACAAATCACGCCATCGCTAGCCATGGGCTAGCCTTTCTGGAACTCCCGGCAACTCATCCGAGCTGGACCAACTGCTTTGCAACTCTCTTCCGGCCAATTTCACCAATCTCTCAGAGGGCTCACCATCCACATCCCAGAGCTCACCATCCCAGAGCTTCCATCGAAACGCGACCTCTACGAGTAGAGCTCCTCCAGAGCCATGGGCAGGAGAAGACGCTGCAAAAGATCGTGGAGGATGGATGGGACTCAACGGATTGGCCAGATGGCCACTTGGCATTGACTCAGCTGAGCCACAGCCGCGACAGACGACGAGATCCGAGCTGGTCAAACGCCCCGGCCGGTTGGGTCCAACATGGTTCTCCTTCGGTCTGTCCAACGATTGGAAACGTGGTGTCAACCGTGACAGCCTGTCAGCCCAGTGGGTTAATCGGATGACATGTGGGTTAGCCCTTAGAGGCGCAAGATGTTTAGCTCTCCTTCCTCTTTTTCGTCCGTCCGTCCTCACTGCTGGACCAGGTCAAAACCTTCTCCATTTTCTCTGCCAGTGCCTTCGGTGGAACAGTAGAGAGATGCGGCGCAAGCGCCAAGCCGCCGCCAAGCGCTCCGATCGGCGGATGCTAGGAGTGATGCTACGTGCCATCCACGGTTTTTCGCTTTGCCTTTGGATCATCGTCCGACCCTTTGTTTGACCAAGTCTGCTTTGCCTTTGGCCGGCCGCTCGGTGACCATGAAATGGACGAATCAGCACTCCCATGTCTTTTTCCCAACCAGCCACCACCTGCTGCCACACCGTGGCATGCCCTGGGGATTGTCACAAGGTACGCACCCCACCAGATGAGACATCCTCAAATGATCCGGGACCAGTGTGGTTTCGGTTGAAGCATCATCCATGTCACAATCCAGCTTCTCCAAACTGTTGAACCGTTTCAACTCGTGTCAAGCTGATGAGTGAATACTTGCTTGACCACGTGACGGCATGTTTTCCAAGATGAGAACCCACCAAACCAAGCTCAGGTCAGCCTATATTATATAGGTCCGCCCTCAGGAAGATGTCCACCGGCGCCTTCAAATCATCATGAAAGATGGTCAATTCACCTCTGCAGGGAAAGGACACAAGGACATTACAGCACCAAAAGAACTCTGGTATTCTTTGATCCTCAAGCAGTTGATCCGACTGGCAGACTTGCCCCCCCAAAACCGGTGCCCCAACCAATTCCGGCTCATTCCGGCTCCTGGACCTTCGTCCTAAGCACTCCTCCTTTCGTCCTCGCTCCATGCACTCCCCAAGGCATGGGGACGCCCAAACGGTGCGCCTGGCGGCCGAGTTGTGTCCCGATTTGGAGGCCGCCGGACCAGTCCTTCAGCTCGGGGGGCCACCATGGCCTTCTAGGTCGGAAGGGGGGGAGAGATAAATCCTAGGTCGGAAGGCCATGCCTCCCTTCCTTTTGGAGCTTCACGATTTTTGCTTCCATTTGTGGCTCGGATGGAATGATGGTGGGACTTGCCCAGACAAACTTTTCAATGATGGTGGGCGGAGAATGCGACATCAGTCTGGCATCAGTCAGCGATCCACCCTAGCACCAGCCACTCACGTCCCTTCCTCTTCAATTCATGTGAACTTGACTCGGCCACCAACACCACCCAGAAGCCACCTCCATCTCCCGCATCCCGCATCCCGCCACCGCCCATCCTCCACCGAAAGAAGCCGCGCAAAAAGAAAGCACGGCGCACCTTATGCACGGCGCCTTATGCACGGTGACGCCGGTGAATTGGGGCGCCTGCCAGGCGCGCGATGGGCAAGACCTCCGCGCCATGGATTATGCCTTGTCCAACTCTGATGCCTCGGAACCTGGGACGGAAGACGGGCCCGACGGGTTTTCTTGGAGCTCGTCTTGCTGGAGGTCGTAAAGACCAGGTTTTCCTGGGTCTTTGGACTTTTTTTAAATCAAAAATATGGGTGGCACGTTGCAAGTGGCAAGGGGAACTTGTTCAGGTTTGGCGCTTTGGTGAACAGGGGAACTCTTCAATCAGCTTTTTTGGCATGGTTTCCTTCAGCTTCGAGATAGAGTCAGACAGCCCGAAGGTTCGTGAATGACATGTTTGCGCTCTCCAAAAGGGAACCCGCCAATACTCATAAGCATATTGTTTTTTGAGGACATCCCTATGTAAATCTTACATACCACCAGTTAGCCACTTGAGCAGCAAGCTTTCAGGTGTAGCCCCCAAAACGACCGACTTCGCAAAGCGTTTTGCCGTGTTGGATGCGCCGTTTTGGGCATCCACGGACCGTGGACCCACCAACTCAGCCAGGGACAGTGACGGTCCGCACCGGTTGGTTTTCACAGTCAACAACGGTCGGTGAAGGCAACGAGCAGGTGCGGATGGAGATTCTGCCCATGTGGTGCAGAATCCAGGACGAAGAAAGATGGATGTAAGTGGTCCGCCCCCCATCTTTTTCGTGACTACTTCCCCCCCCCAACATAATCACTTCCCCCTTTTTTTGGTGGAGGGTTTGTTTTCTCATGTCGGCAGAGTCGTGAATGAACTGAACACGTGAATAGAACTTATAACCCAGAAACTCCATGTATGGTGTAGATTAGCATAATATAGTATAATCTAATCTCTCTCTATATATAATGTATATTATACACTTATGTCGGGCACGCCAGCCATAGATACAACGAGCCAAAATAGTTTTATAAAGCAAAAACAAAGCAAAACAAAAGCAAAAGGCAAAGCAAACAAAAAGGCAAAAAAATGTAGCTGTGCGTATTTGTCGCTTTTTTTT